ACCGAAACGAAACTGACCACGCCAGGCCGGCACGCGCGCCGCCGCAAAAAACACAAGACACAAGTCATATGAGGGAGAATGAAGGGAGTAATAAATGTATTGTTGTCCTGCCGCCCAATGTGCGAAGGAGATGCCTTTGTTTTTCATTTTGTCCTTCATAAATATATAACTGTTAATCCATAATGCATAAAGAAATTATTCAATTTCCAAAACCCCCTATAAAATGTGTTGCACTGATTCCCTTGGCAGGCAATGATTTATTACTTTGCATCGAATACGATCGTACTATACATCCAGTGGTGGTGATAGATGAGGTTTTAGTAGGTATGGCTATGGCGAGTCGCACATAACTCTGTGCAAACAGCATTCCGAGCACGAGGCATGCGTATGCATCTTATAAAAAAAAATTCTCATTAACTGGTTAGAGTCTAGCCTTCACTGACCTTGTCATAAAGTTCAATGTCACTGTCAAAGTCAGATTCGATATCAGCATGAAAGGCCTTTCAACTATATAACAATTTATCGTGCTCTTAATAAAAGGTTTGTTCTCACTTTGTCCTATAGACGACTTAAAAATGATCGCTAGGTAACTGTTAATCCATAATGCATAAAGAAATTATTCAATTTCCAAAACCCCCTATAAAATGTGTTGCACTGATTCCCTTGGCAGGCAATGATTTATTACTTTGCATCGAATACGATCGTACTATAGTTTGTTTTTCCTTCCGTATATTACGTTATTTAGGCCACTGGATCTACGGCTCTCTAAAAACTGCCTAGTTGACTTTGCTGTCCCGAGCGTCTTCCACTTTTTCAGTCAGAAGACACCCTCCTTGTTTACTAGATTAAGCCTGAGTCCTGAGTTATTTAAATAGGAAGATTTGGAGGCGATTCGGTTGGGTTTGATGGAGCATTCCAGGGGAGCGATAGCTTTGCTTGAAAACAGAGCAATTCATTGTACAGGGTGGCCTACCTAACTTAGAATGACTTAACGGGGTAGTTACTTTCCTACAACCTCAGAGAATATTTTCCTTCAATCTCAAGGAACATGGAAGAAATGTTTTCTCAAAAAACATGTATTTTTAAATATTTTTACCTAAGAAAGCGTACCTCATAAAGAGGAAATTTACTGAAACTACTATAATACGGTAATAATAGCAAGAAATGTAACAAACAGCAATGTGAATGCGTAATTCTTCAGATCTAAGTGCCTCTTGTAAGATTTTATAAATTCATTGCCAGGTTGAGCGGTTTGTCGCAAATTCGACGATTTTTCGTTTGCAAAACATACATTTAAAAATAATTTATATAAAAATACCAATTAAAACAATATTTTTTTAATTTTGATAAATAGGACACTGCAAAAAGATAAAATACGGATCTCATATTTTTTAATCTTGCGATGTAGTTAAAAAGCTGAAAAACACTAAATAGTGTCAGTTTCTGTTCCTGTTTAATTTTTTTATACCACCATTTTGTACATCTTTGTATAAAAAAAACAACGCTTTGGAAAACAAAAATTTTTTTTCTATGAAAACGAAATGTGTTCTTCAAATTTCTTAATATAGTTTTATCAATTTCTGTCATACAGATTTATGTTATTTTTGTTACTGATATCCCATATAAAGAATTGTATATATTTATATAAAAATACTCTTAATCACAAACATAGAACTTGCTGTGTAATGTATTCCAATTTATTTATAAACCCTACCTTCTCTCTTTATCTAAAAGTATTGTTAGCCTTTGTAGCTGTTTACCGACAAACTTTTCTCAGGATGATTTCCATGCGATATGTCATTTATATCTGTTATTTATTGACATATAAGCAGATCTAGTAGCCGTGGGTAACCTTCGTATCTTCGAACGTCTTTTGTCTTTGCATAATAAAGGAACGGCTACGCGATAAGTAGTTTGTCTCTAGCAATTGAGTATAAAAAAAGTATTTTCGATCAATTGATGAACCAAGAGGTTGACAGTATGTACCAGGTTTGGTCGCTGACGCAGCAATTCGGCATTGAAATATCTGAAAAACTTGTTCCCATATTTATTTAGCCATACCCATATACAGGTCTGATCGAACTAAACGTGCAGGTGGTAGAAATGTATACGCCCAGTTGAAGAATGCGAGCGCGGGCAAAAGAAATACAAACACAGCTGCATTAGGCCACTGGGCAATAAATCTCAGCTGTTGACAAGTTGCCCAGCAGTGCAGTGCAGCAATGCTGAATTTGGTGTGATTAATGTAATTTTAATTTACTATAGGCACCTACTATTAATCATTGATATTACAATTGCGAAAGGGAGAAATAATACAACATGGCATTTCGGAGACCTTTTGAATCGGAACAAAACGAAATTGACCATCAATATAATAAAATTGTTTGAGGACATAAATAATTAAAATGTGTTGTTGGCCAAATGAACATATAATAGAAATTTTCTACACATTATACAGGGTGTTTCAGGATTAAGTCGACAAACTTAATCATATTCCTCATAAAAAATAAGCAAAAATCAAATATATTTTTTTTACCAGAGACGCTTCATTTTCGAAATATAGGGCGTTAAAGATTTTTAAAGAAATTCGAATTTTTTAAATAACTTCTAAATGAAGAAGGCTATTTAAGCCAAATTTGGCATGACACATCTTCTTATAAGAGTCCCGCAAGCAACCAGTGGCGGAGTTATGGGGACTCAGACTCATTAAATTATAAAAAAAAATAATACGGCCCTACTGAAAATAAAAAATGATGCTGTTTTTAGATAGAACAGTTTGTTATTGACAAAAAGTGCACATTCACTTTTTTCCTAACTCTTATAGTTTCATGGCAAAATTGATTTTTCGCAAGGGATTATGTCGATAAACTTTATAATGAACCTCAACAAAAATTTTCGAGTAGGCTGCTGTCAAGCAATGTTAATTTGACGTTTTAAATGTTATTTTGCGAAATGTTGCATAAATTATCCATTAGATAAAGCGTTCAAACTAATAATAAAAATAAGTTTAATAATGCCGTCCATATTTTCGAACAATGAATATGCTGATATGGTCTTTGTATATGGTTTTTGTGATGGAAATGCCACGGCGGCTCGCCGTGAATATGCAGTAAGATTTCCTCATCGCAGACTACCAGCAAAGGAAACATTTTCAACGACATTCAGTCGTCTCAGACATTAGTTTGAGTCCCCATAACTCCGCCACTGGTTGCTTGCGGGACTTCTACTTCTATGGAAAAATTGTATTTTATAAGATGTGTCATGCCAAATTTGGCTTAAATAGCTTCATTTAGAAGTTATTTAAAAAATTTAACGCCCTATATTTCGAAAATGAAGCGTCTCTGGAAAAAAATTATACTTGATATTTTTCTTATTTTTTATGAGGAATATCTCCTTAAAGTTTGTCGACTTAATCCTGAAACACCCTGTATCCAAATTTTTATAATTTTTTACCTTTAGCCGAAAACTTTTTTAGAGACGCCTATGAAATTATATTGCCAGGCGTTTTTTTACATATTCAACCGACTTCAGAAAGACTATACCACCTTCGTTTGTGACGTAATTTCGTTAGTGACAAACTATACTCGATACAGAAAATAAAGACATTAAAAATTCAGCGAAATTAAATATAATAAAATTTATGTCGTCCTGTACTCCTGTAGGTAAAGTAGTAATTAACCTCAAGTTTACCACCTAATCAAAATTATTGGAATAAAGCGAATAAACACTGTGTACTAACACACAACAATTATTATTTAGAGACGCGTTTTACAACATAATTGATTTTAAAACGGTTGCCGAAATAAATAAATTAAACTAACAACAATGCGTGCGTCGACTGTTATTTACATAATTATTAGATAATAAATACCACAATGTAAAAAATCAGTAAAGAACAAATTTTTTTATAAATAGATTTTGACTTTGAAGAAATCGACCACATTGAAAGAGAACATTTTTCAATGTTCTGTGGGTGTGTGGCGGTATTTTTAAATTTCTTGTTTTAAATAAAATTCAAAACTACTTCACTAATAATGCGGCAGTAAATAAACATATTCATAACGAATTCAACAACAGAAAACATGTATTATACGGATGCAAACGACCATCGACTTGTTTCTAAAGAAGTAAATTGTTTATCATTATGTTATGTTCGTATTGATTTGTTTTGTACTATGTGCTAAACATATTACTAGTGATGTCTTCCAAACAAACGGACAAAGGAGGGTGGTACTTCGCAGTGAGATAAGACGTTGGTGATTTTCCACGGTGCTACTATTAAACGTATGCAAAATTTAAAAAAACAACCAAAAAAGGCCGAAATGAATTATAGTTCCTAATTAAACGTCCAATAGAGTATACTATCTGTTCCGGCTCGGGAATGCCGTTTTTAAATAGCGATCCACCCCCCGGGCAATCATAATATCGTTAGGAAAACGATGTAATGGACATTGCCAGAGAATTAAATTGGTTAAATTAAATTTTAGAGGGGCGGTATCCATCGGATTTGTATTCGACAGCGGCGCGCGGCTTCCTTTATCACCACCCCAAACTATTAAACGTCACTAATTGTGTTTTTGCCAAGAGGGTGGCTCCATAATTAGAAACGGGCCCGCGATTATGTTAGGTTAACTGCGGGACGTTGATTGTTGACGGTTGTTTTAATTGGTTTTGGATAAAGAACGACCACTTCGGCAAGATCGATGGTTTCGCGTCGGTACATTTGACCTACTGGGGTCCCGATGCCTTGTCACACTTGTCAGATCTAAATCAAGTTCGGTATTAACATCATCTGTTACAATTAGAAGAGATCTAGAGCACCTAGATGTTAATACCGAACTTGCCTGCAGTTTTATTTTTTTCGTACAAAAGTGCATCGCCCATGGAGATCTATTGGATCAACAACGATTGCTAAATCGTAGCACCGGTGCTATTTCAATGCCAGCGTGATCCGGCTGATTATGGTTGAATAAACTTAATTTTTTATTTTTTTGTTTCAGGTAACATGATATGGAGTGTGGTATACAGAGTGCGATGCTGAGTGTCCCACCGGTTGGAGACGCAGGCGTCCAGCAACCCTTGCCGGCGTCGTATTCGCCCTCGGAAGCTGACCAGGCCCAGTTTGAGGCCGACAAGAGGGCTGTGTACAAGTAGGGCCTCAAAATACGTTTAGGGAGTAAAAAATGCTTTTTCGAAAACTGTCATAAAATGACGTTTTAAATGTTTCCAAAGAGTCAAAATATCACTTTTCGTAATTGCAACAAAAGACTTTTTGTTCTAGAACATATGGTATACTAAAATCTTATCAATACTACAAACGTCATATTAGTTTATCGTAAATGATAAAATTTGTACTTCTTTTTCAGCAATTTTAACAATATTTCATAAGTTTTCAAAAAAGTATTGTTCAATACACAATCGTTTTTTCAATTTTGCTTGTTGATGCTCGCAATAAAATTCTCCACCCGTTCTTAAATACAAAAGCGATACTATGCAGCCTAAAAAATAACTATTTTATGTTTTTATTTTTGCTTTTAGACATCCACTTTTTCCGCTTCTGGCTCTTCTTTTCGAAAGATGCGAATTGGCAACTCAGTCCTCAGACCCACAGTCTAGCGATGCCTTTAATTTGGACATTCAAGCGTTTGTGCAGCATCAGGAGCGGGATAGGAAGCCTTTTCTGGCAAATGAACCGGAAATTGATGGGTTGGTAAGTAAAATTTTCAAATTATAGTAAATTCTTTTCCGTAGGCCTACAGCTTATTTGAACTACTAATGCATATACTCAAAGGCAAGCGTTTAAATTAATCCGGAAAAGTTCGATAAATGAACTTAAACAGAAATGAAAAAAAAAATAATGAGCTTGATGAAACATCAATAAATTGTTTAAAAACTGCTCTAATTGTTTTCTGATTTTATCAATTATCTTTAAATCTGCCAAAGATTAAAATGTAAAATCTTGTATATGAATCACCTGTGTCTTAAGAAAAACGTTCAAATCATTATATCCAGTGGCGCAGTGGCGTGGATACGGGTAGTTAACATAAAAAATTATGTTACCATGGATTCATTATAATTGACATAATGTAGCAGATATATCAGGGAGGTTGCTTCAGGAAATGATATTTTTCTGAAAATGACTTTATTTTTATAAAAATTAGTGTACAACCACATACTTCTATCCTATACTGATCATTACCTATAGTTTCAATGGATGACCTTGTTTCCAAAAAGTGGGGGCGAGACGTACTCCGTGTGTTTTGCGCATGTTCCATAATTAGGTGCGGTTGCATTTAAATTTAAAAGACTGTCACGGCATGCTCTGTACTATAGCCGATTTGTATACATATGAGATATTAAATCTATTTTCACTGAGTTCACTTCAATTTCTAAATGTTTACTTTTCTACCATTTTCTTATACGAGTCCTCTATCGATAGGCTCCTTATCTAACACATTATTTTACTATTTATTTTTTACTATTTATTAATTTCAATAAATAACATAAGTATCTGCATAACCTATTTAATATTTTGCAGGCTCAAATAAAATAAAACAGAATACAAATTTATATGCTTTTAAAACTATGTACATAGGCATGTTCGTAATTTTGAACATTTTTTTAAATGACATTGGTGTATTTATTAAACAAGACTTAGTATTTCAAAAAATCGCCACTATTCGCTCTAGCCTGGTACAACTGACATTTTTTTTTAATAAAAAAAAGTTTATTATATAATTATTTATTATAGTGGTTTCTGCAGTTTATTTGATAATATAAAAAACATGCTATAAAATATCTGTAAAAGACCAATCCGATAATAATGTCCATCGCGATTAAGGAAGGCTCTTATCGAGTATAATTTTGAAACATTTTTACTAAATATCAACACAAGATAAATTAATAGAAGCATTAGTGCAGGATTAAACAGACTATGAAATAAAACTGAAAAGATACATTTATTTATTTATTAAAATATACACTATACCCTAACAGTTTCACCAAAACACTAGACTAGCACAACACAAAACAAAACTGAGAATATTAATATTTTTTAGGTTAGCTTGGTTTGACGTTTGACTTTTTTACCGCTCGGCGCTCACCGTTCTTGGTTCCTTTCAACCAATCAAAACCCGTAAAGTAAATGCATGCGTATGAATACGCTGGTACGTCGCCCCACTTTTCGGCTTCAACTCAATTGCAAAATGATCAGTATAGGATAGAAGTATGTGTGTACAACGGCGTTTCTTGTAACCTTTAAGCATATACTATTGGAGGTATGCTCCCAACGGCTGGGCGTGTTACAAGGCAAAGAGAGAGATAGCTGCTATGAATGTGATTGGCTTTTCTTGTCACGTGTATTAGATGTGAGCCAATCACGTCCGGCGAGAGAGAGAGAGATAAGCATGTATCTTCATAGCAGCTATCTCTCTCTCTTCACTTTATAACGCGCCCGGTCATTGGGAGGTTACCTCCAGTAATATATGCCCAAAGCTTGTAACACATATTTTTCTTAACCTCACATTCTCTCTGACCATTGAAACTAAACTAAGAACACAAAACATTTGACTCTGACACCTTAACAACTACTTAAATTTGCGCGAAAATTCAAACCTTAAAACAAGTTACTACAATAATAAATTTTAATTGTCCCCCCTACTATTTTTTCAGTATTTTTTAAATATAAATGGGACTTTCTGTATATTTTAAATTTTCTTTAGTATAAAATGATTTTTCTGAATTTTGTGCAACTATTTTCATAAAATTTTTATTTTTAACATGATGTTTTCATCTAAGTTCTAATAACAAAAATGTTGTGATTTTTCCTTTCTAGATGATAAAAGCGATACAAGTGCTGAGGATACACCTCTTAGAGCTGGAAAAAGTTCAGGAACTATGCAAAGACTTTTGCAACCGGTACATTACTTGCTTGAAAGGAAAAATGCAGTCCGAGAATCTCTTAAGATCCGATTACCCTCAAGGTTTGTAATTTTTTTCCTAATAATTTTCCTTTCAAGCTAAAAAAATGTATAAACGTTTCTGATCGGTGTTTAAGATGTTTTAGGAAGTGGTTTGCTGAACAACATGGAAAGCAATAATAATAACATGATGTCCCACGGCAATTCAGAAAGCGGATCGGCCTCGAACAGCCCTGTCCAATACTCTATTAGCCCTTCACAGGCAGTAAGGCTTAAAAAAAAATCCTAACTCGGCACCGCACTAATCGACACCTTTCAGGTAGCTCCTCCAGCGCAAAACAACCTCATCGATCGCCAAATGGAAACACCCCCGAACTACCCGCTACCGCACTACGGGGGCCCCACCCCACCGTTACCTCAAACCCAGCCTGCAGCCGAAAACATGGTGGTCCACGGTTCGACACCTCTGTCGCAAATAGGAGCTAATATTTGCCCCGTGCCTCCTAGTGACAGTTCGGGGCCCCTCTCTCCAGCCCCAACGACACCGGGCGGTTCTGCCGATGACTGTGATAGCGATTTTACCTCGAGGGGAGGCAGGAAGCAGAAACGGGGCGTTCTTCCAAAGCACGCGACCAGCGTGATGCGATCTTGGCTCTTCCAGCACTTGGTGGTGAGTACAAGCGTTTTTGTGCCTGATCTGTGCTAACGTTTTCACATTCTCGCAGCACCCCTATCCGACGGAAGACGAAAAGCGTCACATAGCCGCACAAACTAATTTGACCTTGCTCCAGGTGAACAATTGGTTCATAAACGCGAGACGCAGGATCCTGCAGCCGATGTTAGATGCTAGCGCGCCTTCGGAGAACAGCAGTGCCGCTAGTTCGCCGAATCACAAGAAAAAGAAGAGCCAGAACAACAACAGGAGGTTTTGGCCTCAGGATTTTGCTAGCATGCAGCCTCAATTGGAGAGTGGTAACTTATCGTCTCGTATCTCAACCTGGTTATTACCTTGAATTTCTAGGTATCCTTTCGAGTTCAGACGAAGAGGGAGACTCGTACAGTAGCGATGGGGAAGAAGGGAGTTTAGTCATAGATTCAAATGCTCAGAGTGGGGAAGTTAACCAAAACGGTCATTCGGCGGAAGCGTTAGGCTACAACAACAGTCCAGAAGCTGAGAGACAATGAACCAGCCAATTAATATATGTTCCTTAATGGTAAGGGAACCTACTCTTTATTCAAACTTCTTAAAACATGTACCTACTAGTGATTTAAACTACCGTTAACTGTTTTTGTTGCAGGTAAGCTTGTAGTTGGAAGGAGAACCCAAAGCAATTGTTTGAGTTCATTTTTAGCAAATAATATTTGAATGTGGGACTGAATACTGATGAAAGGAGGTAAGGTATAATGAATATAAAATATTTACACGAGTGATATTTTGGAATCTCTTAAATCGACTGAGAAGTTTTCCAGTCGTAAGGTGATCTTGTAAAATGGAGTCAAACAATTATCTGCATTATAAGGCTGATTTAGGTCATACATTTGTTTTGTTTGTTGTAAATGAAACCTGTATACGTAATATATACCTCAATTTCCTAAAAAAGACGTACGTTGGTTTAAATACGTAAGCGAAAAATAATAGTGTTACGTGTTTGAACTTTGTACACTTGTTTACTTCTTAATGTATACGCATTTTTAAATTTAATGCTCATTCCAGTATTATATATATAACTGTATAGATTCTACGTAATTGTACATGCTATACTGTTAAGCGTTTTTTAAATTTTCTTTTTCGTAAGTTGTTGTTTCAGAAATATTGTTCAGTATTAGGGTTAAGATGTTAAAAAACAACTGTACTCAGAAACTAACGAGAATCTCTTTTAAACGATGAATAAGATCTGATGGGTACATTCCAAGTCTTTTTATATATGTATATATTTTGAAAATTACTAATTTTTAGGTTTTTTACCATGACGGACGGATTGTTATTTTCTGAGTACCGCAGAAAAGTATACTAACTGAAACTAATATACGTAAATATACAATAAATAGATTAAGGAAAAACCGAGAAATTTCCATCCAATTCATATATTTAGAAATTTATTGTTAAAGTAGTATGTATTTTCGACCTGTTTTTGTAATTTTTTTAGCCGCGGAATCGTTTTCGATACAAAATCGTCCGTCACAAATACAATTTATACGTACAAGTGTATACTATAACCTCTTCACGAGGACACATATCCCAGTAAAAAACTAAACGATTTTTTAAAATTGTTAACCATTTTAAACTGGTGCCCGTTTTTGTGTCGAGCGCATTTCGTTTTTCTGATGTATACGTAAATTCTATGAAACGATGTATATAAGTTTTATATAGAAGTGCTGTAGTGCGTAATATATATTTTTTAGGTTCGTATTAGCTGTATTTTAAAGCAGGCAGTCGGAGTTGAAACCCTTCGTAATAGTAAAATTCGGTGACCCTTAGATCTAATCTACAGCGCATTTGAACTACCTGTAGGATAATATACGGCCAGTGTAAAATTTGGCTCCGATTGTTTGCCGAATTACCCAAATCCATGTTACACATTTATTTGCTATGTCGGTCTGTGATAAATTTTAAACGATTGCTCGAAGTCATTGAAAGAAGCAGTAGTTGAGTAAAATTACATGCAACGGTATTTGTTTTGCTCGTTCTCCAGTTACATAAGGTCTGTCGTGACCCAAAAGTTTTATTTTATTGGCGCAGCAAAGACCGTTGCATCGCTTGATATTTCGACGATTACTTAGGTATTGACGCTTCTTGTGACTATATATATATATGTATGTATACGCTGATACTCAAGTTAAACTAAGAGTACGATAGTAAAAAAAAAACAATTATAGAAATAAATTTTAGATCTTCGCATAAAAGTGGCTCGGGGAGTATGTCGCTTCTGACTTGATTTAGATTTCGTCTAGTTTTCGTTATGACATGTTAAAATCGTTTATGTTTGATAAAGACTTGGCATACTCCTCGGAACCACTTGAAGTATTTTTTATTAATGCAATATTTGTTAGTAAGCTGTGTATTTTCATTGTATCATAAATAAAATGAACTGATAAATTGAGTTATTAATTTTACCTTGCACATCCTACAAACTTTCTTTTGACAACTACTCTGAGGGCTATAGCCCATCCAGTATTAAACAATGGACTCAATACAATTATAGGCTTTTTTTCCCGAGTGAAGTTGTATGTTGTGGTATGCGTAGTATGAGTGAGTGAAGAGATTTAAACTATCATATGACAACTAAGATCAAAAGAGATGGAAATAGTGACTACAAGTCAGATATTCACCAATATTCAGTCGCGAAAAAAAGCCTTATATAACTTACAGTGTACACGTGTGTAGTCTCCATGAGTGTACACGTCATATCTTATGTCATTACTACTCAGTGCCTACTGACATAAGGCGTTACTTTATACCTACTGGTAAAATGACCTATTAGGTGAAGCAAACATTGATATTGTCGGAAACCACTATTCTTCGGGTTATATGCTCCATCCTGCACTGAATTAAATCGTCAATATCTAATAAACAACATTTTTGATCAGCTTCAAACAATTTAGTAACATAATCTGCAAAGTATATGTTGTATCTTAAATGTCATTACTACTTAATGTCTAGTGTCTACTACCACAGAATATCCCTGGGTATTCTGTGTCATTCACATACTTCTATATGTGGTATCATTAGTTAAAAGTTTATTTTGCCGTATGCAAAAAAGTCAACTTAGTAGGTTATTCTACCAGTAGGTACAAAGTAATGTTTTGTGCCAGTAGGCAATGTATGTCAATGACATTATTGACATTTAAGATATGTATATTTATATCTTGTAGGTTATGTCTTACTTGATTTGTTTTTTTTTCTTGCGGCAGTAAATATGGACGGTTCTCTAGGAATACTATCTTTTGAATGACTGCAAAGTGTTTTGGAAACATTTTATTATGTTCTAAAAATTAAATATAAACATAAAAAATAAAATTACATATGAAATGTACAAATATTTTTACTTTTAAAATTAATGTGATAACAATGCCACTAATACTAACGCCGGAGGGTGCAGCAACCCTTCTTTATTAACGTAATGCTCATTACGGGCCACAACTGGTAAGATATCAATCCATTGATAAACTTGGACGCAGAGTTACTTTAGTAGATTGTCAAAAAAAGATGGCGTGTTACAGTGATGGCACATAATTTTGACTAAAAATGCTTTTGTACCATTGTCACTGATTTTGTATAAATATTTTAATTATAAAGCCATAAATGGTTTCCCCGTGAAATATGTCTTCTAACGTTCAAATTTATCGTAGATTTACTTTGATTTAGTAGATTGTTTTTCTTTAATTTTCACATTCAAACGCTCAAAAAAATTACTGTGTATACATTTTTTTTTCTGTTACTCTGTTATAAAAAGAAACCCATTCTATCACGAAAGGAGAATATTTTTACATTTACTGTACAAAAAAAACGCGTTTTAATAATAAAAAAAAGCCAATTTCATCCTGAAAAACAACGTAAAAATAGTACCGCTGCCAAGTTCACAGTTAATATTTTCTTCTAAAGAAAATTTTTGGAAATATTTTCCAAACTACATGCTAAAACACTGCTATTCTTGATCAAAATTTGGAATTTAATAGTACACATATTAATTCTTTACAAATTTGTATCATAATACACCACTTTACATATACTTGTATATCTTCAACTTAAAACCGTACTTTGTCTACAAAAGTTCGATAAAAACATTTGTTTAAAATGTTGATAAAATAAAATATATACAATAAAAAAAATCAGTCGTTCCTCTGGGCTTAAAACTTATTTTAGTTACCGATCGTCCATAATCTCTTTCTTAATGACCATTATATCGACTGGTGTGAAAAGGGGATCCACAGGCGCTTCCTCCGCTTTTAAAAGACAAGCCGCCGCGGTCTCCCCTTCCGACGGCGAAGGTGATGTCGAGGTATCAGCAATCGGAGAGGTACGCGAGGCGGGCAACTCGTCCAAATCCATTTCGGTGTGCAAATCTAGCACATCCTCACCAATATCCTCTGCGAGGTAACAATCTGTTAAAAATTGCTGCTTTCGCGCTTTCCGTTCAAGTTGATACATACCGCATTTCGCGCCGTGCTTCTTCAACTTTGTCAGGTCTTGGAGGATGCGCCGTCTCGCGTTTATGAACCAGTTTTCGACTTGGAGTAGCGACAGGTTCGTTTCCTGCATTAGGATTTGCTTCTCATGATCCGTCGGGTAGGGGTGCTGGAAAAGTTTTATTATTACGATGTTTGTAGCGTTAGGTGATAAACTACTTACGTCTGTGTGTCGAAACAGCCATCGTTTTAGGTGATTTTTCGCTTTCGTTGGAAGGTGAGGTCTTTTGGTTAAGATAGGGTTTACTTCGGTTTTGTTTTTAACTATAAAGAAATACAGACCCATAAAATTTTAAAATTACTCCACGTCGCATCGTTTCTACTTACTTTTTGAACACATGTTGTTATGCTTCCTTAAATACTGCAGGCTCTTGAAACTCCTGTTGCAGAAGTTGCAAACGAATTCCTCCCCGTGCACCGTCTTGTGCAGGACGAGCTTCCCGACGTCTGGAAAATTTATGCCGCACCTTCCGCAAGTGTGGGGTCCATCTTTCACCTCTGAATGGATTTTTTTCCTTGGTGCCCTCACCACACTAGTTGTTACATTTGTTATTTCAATCTCACCAGTGGTGGGCAGTATAACTTCCTTTTGTAACTGCAGGAGTAACTCGGAATCATTTGGTGTAGGTGTGTGGGTCGTCTCCTTTTCTGGAAGTTCTTTAGGAGGCGATTTAGGTACGGGTGGTAAATCCGAGATAGATATTTGCGAGAGTTCATAGTTCACTTTGTCAGAGGGTTGACTTTCAACGTACTCTCTGATTTTTTTTTCCACCAGTAGGCATCGCGATTTGAATTCGTACGCAGATTTCAATGCGGTACGACAAGCATTGCATATTACTGGGTTCGGAATGAGATCCAGAGCCTGCAAAGATTATAAAGTTTGTGGTTTATACCAGAACTGTACAGTTGGATATTGTTAAATAAACCATATTAGTAAACAAATAATTCTACCAAAACAATAGTGTACTATAAGGTACGTAAAGAATTTGAGAAAGTTTGCAACTGACTGAATGAGAATACAAACCATTTCTGGAATGCAGGTGGTTAGTTGATCTCTGTATGGCATAAAACCAGTGAACGACTCCACGGCATTAATATTGAAGTATTTTGAACCTCTTTGTAACCTCTGGAGGCACAAACGACATACTTTCGTCATGTTTACTGCACAACGGAACAACAAATAACAAACAACCGTTATGTAACACGTATGTGCTCTAATGGCTATTTTTTTATTAACAAATTTGACATTTTAACGTAAATGTCAAAATAGAATGTCATCAGAAATGTCAAATGGCAGGGTAGGGAGGAGGAACAGCTCTTCTTTCAGAATCGGCCTTGGAAAAATGGGACAATCGTGGTGGCATGTTTTATTTTGCATTTTTACGGTGGAGCCACTGAATGATACATTTGAACTACAGCATACATATAATATATTATGATAACACGTGTTTTTAATTTTCTATTACAAGCTAATCACAGAAATATATCCTGTTATTATTATTGTTTTCACCACAAACGCCGACCACAATTTTGAGGTTACATTATGTGCGTTTGAACTACCGACTATTTCACGACCGTACTTACCATATTTTATACATGAGCTCCTTTTTTCACAATATTTAAAATTGCGGCTTCCCAATTAATGTAGAATTAACAACACGTTAAATACAGTGGTCACATAAAGTGGTAAACTACTAGGTTGGGCTATTACAATACTTCTTATACACCCCTAATTATTTATTAATTTGTTAATATTTTTATTTATTACGTCTCTGATCAGTGATCACATTGTTTATGTTTACTGTTTACTCTATCTGTAGGAGAGTGTACCAACTGTTAAAAATTAGAAATATTTATTGTGGGTCGGTAATATTCGATTTTAATTTTTTCACTTTAAAAATAGTATTATTATTAGTCCAAAGTCATGGACAAAAATAAGTCACAAACATTTATTTTGAGTGTAAACGATTTTGGCCAAAAAATTTGTACGTCGCAGTCGGAGCCTAGCAAGAAGTAGGTTAAGGTTATGTTGACGTTGAAAGTGAAAATCCTCACTGTTTACACTTTTTTTAGGTATATTCTAGACGATGAAGGTAATATGAGCGAATACCAACCTGAGACTTCCATTTGCGCTATAAAATTAGAATCCCAAGGCAACCTTACGGAGGACGACAGTAACGATAGTGCTCTTAGTGGGAGTAATGAAGTAACGCATTTGGAGGATCCTACACAACTAGGTACAGTACGAATTATGTGTTATTGAACCCTAGGGTACACTTACAGCCTGCCTTTAGGTATAATGAATTCCCTTGACGGTGTATCAGAATTCGAAGAGAACTTGATGAACGAGTTAGACTCCGACTTCATGAACATGGTTCCCAACCCGCATTCCCAATATATAATGCAACACATGGACATCCGAGAGCCACTAACGAAGCTACGGAAGCTCATAGAAAACAGGTTAGGTGTTAGCTTGCAGAATTACAGCTTTTCGTTGCAAGGAGCTCAAACGGTAAGTGACCCATCTACATTCTTTGAAAGCACAAGTACAATAACATTTCTTAGTTGGAGGATCATAAAAATTTGGTGGAACAGTGTGTACAGGGCGAGGGAATCGTACAGGTCAACGTGCAAGTACAAACTAACTTGAAACGCATCAATATCATCGACGTTCTTAAACCAGCAGAGGATTACGTTCACATGGGTAACGGTAATAAAGTCAAGCGTAATATTTTAAGTTCCTAAATGGAAGTCGCATTTTAGAAGACGTAGAGGAGGAGAAAACCCAACAGAAGGTGGAACAGCCCCAAAATACCAAAACAGAGCGGCCTAAGAGTATCGTGCAGTGGCAGGTCGACTTGAACTACAAACGAGAACAGGAACGGCTGAAAATACCGTCAGATCCAGAAGATTGGTACGTATATTCTCCTAATAGCGAGCGCATGCAGAGAATCCTAAAATGTCTGGTATTATGTTCTCAAATCTAAATTAGGGACATTAAAATTTGTAAATAAAAATGCTATTGGTATATCATCTAAATCACATAATCGTAATTAATAAAAAGGTTACAATTGTTATGCAAAAAATACAAAAAAGAATTAAAATAAAAATACTCTGATACAAAAATTTGTAATCGAATAATTTAAAAAAAAGGAGACAAATTGATACAAAGTAAAATTGTGATTACTGGTGGCCCGGTTTACTCCACGCAATGTCGTCATTAAAAAATTATAACCTGATCATTTATTTGATTAAAAAAAAACCCTGAAAAACTGCCCCCCTCCGTCACTTAAAGTCAGACCCTGTATAAGCTTTTTTGTATTTTCTGCATCACTTATTTGTTTTTATTTAACAATCCTGAAGGTATTTCAATAAAGGGACGAAATGTAGACATTGCGTTAAAACGAGAAAATTTCGCAAAAGCAAAACTGTTATTTATTTGGATATTTTCAGGAGTGCCGTCCACGTACGGCACTGGGTACAATGGGCTGTGCGACAATTCAACTTAACGAACATAAAACTGAGCGACTGGTCGATGACGGGACAGGAATTGCACAATATGACGATACAAGACTTTCAGAAGATCGTCCCGAACGATCCTGGAGATGTCTTTTGGACCCATTTGGAGCTGTTGAGGAAAATGAAAGTCGTCGGTAAGTACCGAGCGAAAAACTACTCGTCTCGGTGTGATTATTAAATTTTTTTTAGCTACGAAACGAGAGGAGTCTCCGAAACGGGCAATGCCAAAGGTTGTCAGGCCAAAGGTCAGTTTCGATAGTTTCGCTCATCACTCCCATTATTCTAACTTATTTTTCTAGGTAACTTACAAAAAAGACTTGAAAGTTCTGAATTATGCGACGGCCGTTCGTTATTTGGACATGGCTACGTACTCTTCCAGTGGTAATAGGACGGGCAATAACGGGCAGATACAACTGTGGCAATTTCTGCTAGAACTCTTAACGACTCAGGAATACAAGTCCGTCATCCAATGGATCGGTAATATTTAACTCTACAAAAGTATGCTAATGTAACTTGTATTTCTTACAGGGAAAGAGGGCGAGTTCAAATTGAACCACCCCGAAGTTGTGGCACACCTGTGGGGCGAACGGAAGAATAAACCGACGATGAACTACGAAAAGCTATCTAGAGCTTTGAGGTACTATTATGACGGAGATATGATATCAAAAGTGCATGGGAAACGTTTTGTTTACAAATTTGTGTGTGATTTGAAGCAACTAGTGGGTTATAGCGCCGTCGAACTGGCAAATTTGGTGAAGTATGGCAATCCCATGGGGGAGACGTAGGGAATAGCGGGGATTTTCGGGTTTGTGCTAGTTTTTTAGTTTGTTGTGTTTGGAATGCAAATTTGTGATTACTGTGATATTAAAAAGATTGTATTAAAATTATTGAATTGTACTGAAAAAAAAAATGTAATATGTAATTCATATTTTTATTAATAAAACTATGTATAAAAAGTAGGTAAATATTGTTTTTCAAGTTCAATTTTTTTGCATGGAAATTGTATGATCAGTCCGTATGCACAGTTGGAATGTTCTATTGTTACAAGCACCCATTTCCATTTTTGCCTCAGTAATGAGGCTGCATAGTTTTATTTTTTAATTTGTCAGTTATCAACCTAGGCGTTTTCTTTCATGTCATATGCGTGCAAGTGGGAAAAATGTGTCATTTCCACATTTCAGTTATTCCGGTGTGTTTGCAAAAACGGAATTGGGCGCATGTGTTAATTTTCAGTCTGTTAATAATCAGTGTAGCCGTAATGAGGGAGTTTAACAAATCAAGACCGTAGTACAATAAACAATGTTTATTAAAGAATTTGTGCGTAAAAGACAAATATTTCAGTGCAATGCAGATGAAATGTGCAGTTCTTTAACAAAAGTGTCTGTGGTGCCTTAAAGAGTGATGAAAGCGTATAAAAGCAAAACACATCAGAAAAAAAAATTAACAATGACGTTAAGTACATAATCCGTAGAAAGACTCGCACATTTTACAAGTGAACTTCCACTATTAAAGAAAATTGACATTGTAATCACAGAAGATGACGATTTGCCCAGAATGTTCCAAAAAGTTTGCGAACCATCCAAGTATGAGTGAACTTTCATTACTTAAAACTAAACTGAAACAGTAATAGTCATAACTACAGGCTGTCTACTATAAGAGGGCGCTACTTCTATGATATACGACGCACGTCAAAAATCTTTATATATTTTTTGTTGCATTTTTTGAGACCTTTATACTCGTAAAAAGAAATTTGAGATCCATAGCAAATTTTATGAGAAATCGTAAAAAAAACCAGAAAAGTACCGAAAGTTTAGGGCCGTCTAACTTTTTTATTTTAAGAAATACAGAAAAATTATTTCGATAAAATTTCATGGCAAAATTGATATCTTTTACCTAGTCTAAACAGATTTTTAAAATATCATTTCGCTGCGCCCTCTACGCAGTCAAAAAAAAATTTACATCGAAGCAGGCTGTGGTTACAAAAAATTGCTTGTTTCTCTCTTTCATGCGATATACTACATGTTGCCTGCATCTTTTATATTTATTACATTTTTTATAATTTTGGTATAAAAAATGTAAACATTTTCGTGTTAACGTAGAAACTGTTGTAGACACATGTCAACTATAAAAAATTTAATAAATGCACTTCTTTTAAGCAAAATACACACATTATTATAATATTAGTTTACTTTAGAGAAAACTGAGCCTTCAACATTGTTCTTGCACAGACAAAGTAGGTTACGCTAAATGTAGCAGGCTATGAAAACAAATGTGTTATCCCAGTAATGTCATTATTTAACAAATTGTTTATTGTTATAGTTTGCACATAACTGTTGGATATAAACTTTATTCTATGACTGTTGGTTTGGAAATTGTTACAGTTAAAACTGTGATTTGAAAATTAAAATTTTGAATAATAATGATATTTTCACACATTGAGAAGTGTAATATGTTTGTATTGTACTATCAATGCAATTTCAATTCTATTCAAGCACTTGCGGAATATAGAAAACCTTCGCTAATAAAATCAGTTGTTGTTAACAGAATTTTAAATTACGTAAATACGAAAAATTAGCAAAACAGTGAGAGATTGAAGTGAACTAGAATTTAGAGAAGGTTGAAAAAAGTGCACTTCTTGAGCTTGAGGGAGGAAGATAACCAAGGAGATTAGGGTTCTGTAGGTGGTGACAAGAAAGAAAAAGAGTGGTCAGATGTGCCTAATTTTTGTAACAATGGATTTTTTAATAGGAACATTTACTTCAAATGGACTAATGGTAATTCACATTGGCATGGAGAAACTGCATTTCAACGAAGGTTTTTAGTAAACGTTTGGGTTAGAATTCTTGATACCAAAATTATAGGACCTTACTTCTATGATGGTAAACTGATGGGTGCCAGATATTTCCAATTCTTAGCCTCAAAAAAGTACATTATATTCATAAAAGTTTTTGTAGTTGGCCTGTTTAAAACAATTTATAAAAATGTAATAAATATAAAAGATAAACGCAACATGTAGTACATCGCATGAAAGAGGAAAAAACAAGCAATTTTTTGTATCCACAGCCTGCTTCGATAACAATTTTTTTGTCCGCGTAGAGAGCGCAGCAAATTACATACCATACTTCAAAATTTTGTTTACACCAGGTCAAAGATATCAATTTTGCCATGAAATTTTATTAAAATAAGTTTTCTCTATCTCATAAAATAAAAAAGTTAGACGGCCTTAAACTTTCGGTACTTTTCCGGTTTTTTTAATTATTTCTCAGAAAGTTGGCCATGGATCTCAAATTTGTTTTTACAAGCATCAAGGCCTAAAAAACTGCAACAAAAAACATAAAGATTTTTGACATGCATCGTGTATTAAGCGAGATACATAGGAGTGGCCCTCTTACAGTAGACAGCCCGTATATCTATTTGTTGTCTACAATTTTGGCATTCTAGTTATAAGTACTTACAGTGGCTTTAGAAAATTAGTCAGTAATCATAATTTTGAAAATTTCCACCTGCGGCGCCATCTGGTGGTCTACACGAGGAGTTTTCGTATGCAATAAACAAATTTAGGTGGCACCACCTAAAAATTTTTTATGGTTTTTACATAATTCTTTACAACTAAATTATGTCATATTTTGTAAATATTTATAAAACACATTCCAAAATCAATATATGTCGAATTACCGCAGGAAAAATGGTCAATACCGATACGAAACGAACAAAATCTTAGTTACTTGCCGCCCCATCTATTATATAATGTACCAAATTGCTACATAAGCTACAGCTATGCACTAGAGACGCATCCTACACACATTTTCAAGTACAACAGGTGGCGCCATATTTAAAAAATAATGGGAATATAAATATTTAAAAATTGGCATAACCACTGCCAAGTTCATCTTTATTTAAATAAATTGAACAATCAATTACACAAATAAGTGTTCTGTCTGTAGTACTTCAGTGACAATTAATTTCACTGTTTTTCTGGATATATTTAATAGACTGATGGTAGAGGAAACAAACTTATTCTTTTTAATTTTTTTCATCAGGTTTCTAAAAAAACAGTTCACTCCAACCGAGCGCGCGCCATTATTCTATGGCTAGAAATTGGCCTCAATGATTTGGGATCGAGGGGGATTATCCCTCTTTATCCTGCCTCATCTCGTGTAGGCCTGGACAGCCTTCGTAGGTGGGCCCCATCCGTCGTCTACCCCGACCGCAAATGCGGCCGGTGTAGGCGCTTTGTGGGATCCAACCGAGCAAAACATGTAGTCTGCGGTCTCTGCTTCACAAGAAGTCTAGATAGAAAAGATCCAATTAAAAACAATTACTGGTAGCGCCATCTACCACATAATGAAAGATCCAATTAAAAACAATTAGTGGTAGCGCCATCTACCACATAATGTACCAAGTTGTTACTTAAGCAGCTACTCACTAGAGGAACATCCTAAACACATTCTCAAGTGCAGCAACAGATGCCGCCAGATTTAAAAATAATTGGAATGTAAATATTTAAAAATTGGCACAACCACTGCCAAGTTCATCTTTATTTATTTAAATTGAACAATCAATTACATAAATAAGTGTTCTGTCTGGAGTAGCGCAGTGTTAATTATTTTTTTTTTGATACATATTGATCCAGTGATTATACAGATATATAAAGAAACATTCTTATCCTTTTTAGATTTTTTCAACTAATTTTATGCAGCTTTCTAAAAAAAAACTGTTTACTCCAACTGGGTAAAACAAGTAGCCTGTGCTTCTGACTAATTTTGAGGCTTGTCTGTCAAAATTCGAATGGTGCAATATCGGATTATCAAATCAGTAGTTGAAGGTACAGCAATGAATAGATCGTATTTGAGCTACTTCAGGAACAGGAACCCATTCAAATTCATCTCGAATATATTCAGAAATTATAAGAAGTCTTCAGACAATGTCAAGAGGAATCAGAGTGAACCAACCGTTGCCCAAAGTCAACCCGTGGAGGACTATCAATCCAACAAACCAAAATCCGAAATAAACCTCAGCAGTTGCCAGAACGATAAACAAATTAAACAGTGGAATAATTCAAAGTATGACGACAACTCATCGCAGGATGGTGTAAAACTGACTTCGTCAAATTCAAAGGTGAACAAGGTTTCAAGCAACATCAGCCTCAAGAAAACAAGTTGCCATTTAGACCTCAATATCCAGGAGAAATTGAACCAAATACCTCTACAAACCGTACAAATTAAAAAAGACAAATCATCCACAAAGATACCCCTCAAAAGAGCTTACCCCTGGCAAAACTTCAACTTAGCCAATGTGAGAAAGCCGCGATACGAGGAGATCAAGGAAGTGAGCGATATGAGAGATGAAATCTTCAAGTTGAGAAAGTCAATTCTGAGAAAACCTGACGTAAAGCCTTATGGTGACAGGGACAGTCCTATAAAAGAAGTAAAATTCAATAAAATGGCTTCGATGGTGATTTACCCAAAAAATAACTACAACGTGATGAAACAAGCCAGGATAAATCTATCCACAAACGTCAACAATGCCGAAAAATCTGCCATGACCGAATATCGGAGGAAAAAATTACCAGTTCTTAATGTCAACAAAGCAAACACAGTTAAAATGTGCTGTCCCAGTAACTATAGGAAAAGTGTGAAGAAATTAAGAAAATGCTTGCCGGTGGAACACGGACATCTCTGGTACCTTAATAATGCAAAGAAGCAGAAGATTTTCTGAACTTTCCCAGTGTTTTAAATTTTTTGTGATTTTGTAGTTCAAGCTTATCCAGATATAAGTAAAAAGTTGTGGATGAATTGTTTGCTCTATCATTAAATGATAATTTTCAATAATAATGCAATAAAAAATAATTAATAATCTACTATTGTGTCTTTCAGTTTTATTAAGATATAACAAGGTACAAAAATATGTCTCTCCTAGAAACAAACATAAATATAGTAAAATATAGTAAGTTTAAAACATCCATCATATATCCATCCACATAATCGTCTATAGAAATTGAAAAATAAATAGTAAGTTGAAATGAAGAAATACATTTCGCCTCAAAAACGTTACCTAAAAAATCACGAACAACTAATTTGATTTTAACAATTTTTTTTAAATTATATGTTACATTTATTCTCTACAAAGGAATATCTTTCTCTAAAATTTGAAGCACCTTGTACGATATGAGGCTTTTCTGAACAGTTTGTTTGTTGGATCATAAGTTTCTTTTTATTACTGTCTAAATTTTTACAATAACTTTGTATCTCAATTAATAACACAGATAACGGTGTAAATCAAAAAACAAATTGTTCGGAAAAGAAGAGACTATAGTTTAATTCAAGTAGATACTCGTTATTTTATCTGGTGCACCTTACAGACAGTTTCAAATATCAATGAACAATACTTATTCTCTCTTGTATCATGTAAAACCGAAAATTCAACAAAATTTCTATCTTAAAGTTACCAAAATCAAATTAGCCCTTCAGGAGAAAATCAACTTTGAAACTGGGCCTCATTTTTAGTTGTTTGTTAATTTTGATGTGAAACAGATATATGATAGATATGATAAAAATAAAAGTAAATTTCAAATTAACACTTTGGTAAAATCCCACATTCTCATGGATGGCTTGATGGCTTGGTTGCAACATTTTGTCCTAGAAAAGAGGAAAAAAATCAAGTCAAAGCTGCTAGTCATTTTAATTATTTGCATTTAAAAGTTCCAAAACCATCACAAAAACCTACTAGATTTCACAAAAACAATCACTGTCAGACTTGTCAAGTTCCATCATGTTCTGTTAATCACAATCAAAATTAAAGTATAATCACTACAATGTATAAATTATTATGTAGTAATATTACCAAATCGCATAGATCCCTGACTAACTTTACCGGATACTACAGGAAGGTGGCTCAGAAATGCAACAGGGGTGCCTCGAGCAGCAAGAAATTCCTCTCGGAGACGGACCTCCAGAACAAACAGGGGGTAGAAGAAGGCGCCGACTCGGTAGAGTGCTCAGAAGAAGCCTTGGAGACTGAGATAAAGTCAGATAAGAAAACCAAATCCTACAGTTCCTTTTTTACCCAGAACATCAGTATCACTCCCCTGAGCCGTCCTGAAGTTAGCGCCGAACAACTCATCGCTACAACTGCCGCACCTTCAAGATTTTTCCATTCCTCCACCGTGGATAACAAATGCAGCACCGCGGCCTTCAAAAAACCCTTCAAAAACAAAGAGGCAGAAAAATACTACCAGTTGGCTGTCGAACAATGCATGGAAATCAGATCAAAATTTGATAAACTCCACCAACAATCCAACTTTATGATACGACCTGCTGGACTTAACTTCGAAGTACAAAACGAGTTCGAGCACATCGACACTAAGAACAACAAAAACAAACCGAAGCAAAAGCCGCTGAAGAAAATACACAAAGAGAAATTAATGAAAATACCCGAGCTGGAAAAAATCGCCGAGATGAAGACTGCGAAACCCAGATCTCAATTCAAACAGAGCAAAATAAGGATAACATACCCCACCCACATCGCGAGCTACAAGGTGGGTACTAATGGATTCAAGATGCAGCATACACTCAAGCAGCAGGTAGCGAAGAACAACCAAGTCAAGACCGTTTACAGGGATCCTGTACCGGAGCCGTTACAGTTGAAGGTAAAACATGAAACATCTACAGAAAAAGACAAAGCCGAGGCTCAAAAATTAAGGAACAAGACTTATCAAAGACGTCTGCAGCGAAAATGCAATGATGATAACTCTGAATATGCTAAACAGCAGCTAAAATACAACAAAAGCATGATGCAGCAACACCCCACCGTCCGAAAGGCAAATTCCTCGGTTAGAATGGCGTTCAAGAACAGATACAATAAGCTGTTGCAGAAGAGCGGCCTGCTGTATCAGGCCCCAACTAAAACCAAGGAAGAGGACAAAGGTGAGCGATGAATTAAAAGTTCAACAATTTGAATATCGTTACAATAACATTTGTTTTTAAAATGTATCATAGTTCGTTTTAGTTTTCCAAATCTGATAATTATTTGTTTTCCTTCTGTAATTAAAAATTAACCTAATTTACACATTTATTATGGTCTAGATCAAGCAGAAAACCATGACGCTAAGCGACCCACAAGTCCAAAACCAGCTCCAACCTATAGAGACGCCGAGGAAGTACTGTTCAGAAGAACAGAAATGCAAGAGCCGCAAGTGACTGAACACCCCATAGCCACCGCTAAGCAAGCAAAAGTTGAATCTTCCTTAAAATACCCCAAACGAATCCTGTCCGAAAAGTCTGAAAATTACGATATCGACGCTACCTGTATCAAAAACAGCAACCGTTCAAATGTCACCACGACCTATGGCGATTTCATCGCAGAGAGTGAAGAAAAAGTAAAACACTTTGTTGAAACGCATAAACAAGAAGCTAAAGAGCTAGAAGATCATAAAGATAGCAAAGGAAGCCTAAAAACAATCGAGAAAATACCAAGTTCCGATGGATTCGGTGAATATTTGAGGAAGCTAAAGGAGCTGAGGGACCAAACAGCCGTTGAAAGGTTGAATATCAAAAAAGTTGAAATGCCGAAGCAGGATATGACAAAGGCCGATAGTAAGAAGATAAAAGAGGTGGTGACGAAATTAGAGGATCAAATCGACAAAACTCCTAAAGACGAATCTGAAAACGTTGTTGAAGTGAAAGCAGAAGTCAAGTCAGATATCATTATAGATAAAGACAAGGGAAAGATAAAACAATACCCGATATCAGATAAATTCGTCGTGAAAAAGGATGAAGACTCCCTCATACGCAAAGCTGTGAACGTTATAAGAGACACAGTAATCAGAAGAACTAGACCTAAGAAAGCAAAAGTACGAAGTCAATCGGTGGAACACTTGAGGCAAGAGAAGAGTTCTGTAACCCAATCTATCCCCTTAAAAAAAGTGAGAAGCGAAAACCTTATCAAAAAAGTTCCATCAAAATCAGCAAAGCCCAAGACTGATACACCTCAACCCATAATACGATCCGCCCCGTTAAAGACCAATCGAAACGAGAATCTTTCTAAGAAAATTAAATCGAAACTACCAACGCCCAGCAGTAACAAATCTCAAGAAAAATACAAGTTTACTAGACAGGAAGTCTCGAAAGAAACGAGTAAGGCTGGAACAAACCCTCTGAAGAAGATAATGGACCAGTACAGGGTACCATGCAAAACAGAATTTAAGATATCTATGGCGGAGTTAAAGAGAATCAACAGGAGGAAGAGGAGAGAACGAGAAAAACAACTGTTGGAAGAAGTGAAGTTACAACACAGGAAACTTGAAGAGGCGAGGGAGGCCGTGGTGAAAGAAAAAGAGGCTATAAGGGATCACAAATATAAATTAGACAGCAAAATATCAGAAAGTAAATCTAAAGAAGACTTAGCAATAGCTGATGAGGAGTTATTGCAACAGAAAGAAGAAATAGCTTTAAAAGAACTAGAAAAAGACGTTCTAAATATGCAAGAAAATCCAGAGCTATTTGCTGGTAAAGCTCAAGAGGAAAGAGAGGCACATGACACAAAAACATATTCGGAAGAGGATGGTCCGATTTTGAAGGAAAAAGAAGTACAAGAACAAGTCTCCTGTAGCACCACGGAAATAAAAGATGTGAATAATCTACAAAATCCAGAGCAAAATGTAGAGAAAACTGCTGTTCTGGAAGAAAATTTGGAAAATGTGTCAGACAAAAGGATAAATCAACAAAATAAATTGTTAGCTGAAGAGAACTTAGCAAAACTAAAAGAATATCCAGAAAAAAATAAAGATATGATTGCAGAAGAAAGAGGACAAAGACTGAAAACACGAGTAGCAAATAAAATAATAGAAAAGAAAGCGAAGTTGGAGCAGAATGTTCCAAACGCAAATTATATTGGCCCAAAAAAATATTTAGAAAAAGCTTCTGATAAAAAACAACCATTATATAAAAACAACCAAGAGATAAATAAAAAAGCACAAGGTCCTACCAAAATTGAATTTCAATATATGAAGAGTCAAAATAAATTAAAGACAAAGAAAGCTAAAGTAAAAACTCAAGTTTTGGGAAAAAGAAAAAACCTACTAACCTCCGAAGAAGCTTCCGAAAAACTTACCGATACAACTTTAAAGAATAAAGAAAATCATTTACTAACGGACGTAGAAAAACCCTATAGCAAGAGACTGAAGGAAATAGAAATACAGCAGATAAAAGGAAGTACGGAAGATCACAAAGCTATTGCAGGAAAACCTGCTTGCAATATATTAAAGGAAAATGCACAAAAGAAAAATTTCCAAAAAGTGGCAAAAAAAGTGACAGAACAGAGACAGTCTTCAGCAGAAGATCTAAAAATTATTTCAAAACAAATTGAGAATGCCCTTTTAGCAGAAAAAAGAATGGAGGTATCACAAAAAGATGCAGACAAAGATAATAGTATAACAACAGAAGAAAAATTAGAAATATATCCTGACACTAGTGAAGAAGTTAAAGAAAAATATATTTTAGACACTAAATCAAAGTCTGTGATACACGTACAAAAAGAACCTGCCAAAGAAAATTTAGAAAACACACCAGAGAAGTTATCTGAGGAAAATAATAAAAAGGATTCAAGTACTGAGTTAGAAAAGTCTAGTACGCCTCTGAAAGAAAAAGCATTGCAGATGTTAAAAGAAATCGCAAGAAAGACTGGTAGTGAGGAGATAGAAGAAAAGAAAAATCAACAAACAAAAAAGAGTTTAGAAAATGATAGTAACACTCTACAGGAAGTTAAAGGCAAGTATCTGTTAGAAGCTAACTTAAATAAGACAGACAGGAGTATACTAAGAGAGACAGTAAAAGAAAATATAAAAACGGCAAATACCGGTTCTGAGATAACGAGGAGTACGAAAGAAGCTGCTGTGAAAGGTAATAGCGAAAAAAGGGAAGAAACAGAACAACATAAATTGGAAAAAGGTTCAGAAAAACCCACCGATATTGTTCAGGATGTTAAAGAAAAGTATTTGCTAGAAGCTAATTTAAAAAAGGTAGTCAATAACATACTGCAAGAAGAGACATTAAAAGAAAATTTAGACAGGATGCCAGAAAAATCACCTGCAAAAAGTAACTTGAACGAGTTAAAAGTTTCGAAAGAAATTGATAGTATGACTTCAAAAGAAAAAGACATGCACATGCTGAAACTAGAACAAGAAGAGAACTTAAGAGAAAGTTTAGAAAAGCACAGCAACATTGCTCCAGACATTAAAGGAAAGTATATGTTAGAAAATAGTTTAAAAAAATCTACCGACGATGTCCTCGAAGAACAGTCACAGAAGGAAAATGTATCGAATCCATCATCATTGGAAGATAATTTGGTAAAATCAGATAATACTTCAAAACAAAACTTTAGCCCAACCTTAGAAGTTAAGGACAAGGAAGAGCAGACATTAAAAAAGGATGCAGAAAAATGCGGTAGTACGGTGTCCGAAGAAGAAAAGAAAGAGACGGCAGAAGAGAGGGCAAAAATTAATATCAGCAATGTTCTGGAAGAAATAAGAAAACACATTCCACATATAAATATAAAAAACCTATTGGAAGAACAAACGCCAAAGAAAGAGAAAAATGTATCAGATTCAAAGGATTCTCCACAACAAAAGGAATATATAGTGGAAGACAGAGAAAAAATATGCAAAAAGACAGAAGCAAAGGATGTACAAAAATTGGAAAGGGACCTAGAAAAATATTCCCCAGAAACAAGAGCTAAGACTACACTGAACGAACAACCTTCATATAATGAAAAATCATTGCTTGATAACAGTATGCAGGAAAAAATGGCAGAAAGTAGCGCCCCACTTTTTGTCACGAGAAACAAATTAGAAGGAAAGCAACCTGACGCCAAGCCTCCAATAAAAGAAAACAGCATGGTAAATAAAATAAACGAGTTTCAACAGGGAAACCTAATGAAACCGAAAGAAGCCAGTACGAGATTAGTGAAGCTGGTCAAGAATATTGATCTTATGAAGCCCACACAAAAGGTGGAAGAGAAAATTGAAAAGTCCACAGTTCCCGAGAACAGACCGACGATCAGGAGAGAACAACCACCTAAACCTACAGACAAACACAAAAAGGAGAAGCCCAAATCGAAGACGGACATAGTTTTACCCCCCAAAGGCAGAAACGACCCGAAAATGCAACACACAACCAGGAATGCCACTTTGGATGATCCAAGAAGGAATTTTATAGAAGAGATCAACGAAGCACTTAGTAAAATTACTCACTCATCGCTAAGGAGAGAAGAAACCAAGAAATGTAAATCTTTAGCGGATTTGGCTGAAGAACAAAAGGCTAAAATACTGAAAGAGATAGAGGTGACATGGAACAAAGAAAATGATAAGACAAGAGATAAAAACGAGGCTTCAAAAGATGAACTAGAAGTAAGTTCAAAGGAACAAGAGGAATTAGGAACAGCAAACTTAAATAAACTAAAAAACGTTAGGGAGTGTTATGAGAGCATCATAGATATGCAGGAGAAGCGTAAGCTAAATGTGGACAATGCCACATTCTGCCTAAGTGTGACAAAAAGTAGAGATGGTATTAAAAATAACAGCACTTGGAATGAGGAACATCCTAGATTAATCGTCAAATTAAGATACAAGGGTGAAAATGAATATGAAAAACCAAACGATATGTCAACAAATTGCAGGTCAGAATATGCTATGGGTAAGTCCGCCAGTTGCTTTACAACACCCCAGAAGACTTCAAAGGACGGAACATCGACAGAACCGCAGATACCTAACTTTACTGTACTTAAAGGAAATTCCGACATGCCACAATTTGACAACGGTGAAGGTTTGTCGGCTTTACATTTTAGGAGAACGAAAAAAGCCAGAATCGAAGACGATTTCTTAAAAATACAACCTAGAGTCTTAAATGTTGGATACACCCCAAAAGAAGACTCATGGCACAGCCAAAACGACTTGGATTTTAACTTTACAAAGCTGAAAAAAGCCAGAATTGAGGATGATCATATCATGTATGAAATAAAAGACGTAAAGGAATCCCCAGAACAAACACACAATGAAAACGATGTTGAGGAAGCCAAAGCCGACATAGTAAATGAAAGGTGGTGTAGTAATGGAGATACAGCTTTTTGCTTTCAAAAACAACAACGAAAAAAGATAGAAGATGACACGCGAGTAAAAGAAATTCTGTCGGGAAAAGGTGAATACGATTCTATTAAAAAAATTTCATCTCAAAGTACCATTTTAGATCAATCGAGCAGCATTGGGAAGGAGGAGATTGTCAGGAAAGTGGAAGCAAAGTTTGAAGACCTAGAGGATGAAATAAATAGATCAGTCAAAGAGGAACCTCTTAAAAATCTTTCGAAAACAGAACGTAGCAAAAACGACACAAAGACTGCTACTGAAAAATCAGATATAAAACACAAAGTTGAAGCCAGTGGTTCTAAAATACCAGTTAAAGAAGATTCTCAAATCAAAACCAATATAGAGAAATTGATAAATGTGATGAAGAAAGCTGACAAAGAACTAGAAGAAGTTCTAAAAGTCTATGAGATCCTCAAATTGCCCCAAACCCAATATCGAACTCTAGTTAAGCCTGCAGATTACAACAATACAAAACAGGACAATGTTGAAATGAAAGAAGAATGTTTAAAGTTTAAAGAAAATATTGCACTACTAGCTGGTAAACAGTCCAAAAATATCAACAAAAAACAAGACAAAACCGAAACAAAAGAAACCAACTTAAAATTAAAAGAAAACACTGAATTGGTGGCCACAAAAAAGACTGAAAATTACAATAGCGTAAAACATGACAAGGCTGAAACAAAAGAAAGATGCTTAAAGTTAAAAGAAGGTACTGAAGCGGTTGCTGTTAAAAAGAATGAAAATTACAATAGCGTAAAACATGACAAGGTTGAATCAAGAGAAAAATGCTTAAAGTTAAAAGAAAGCACTGAACTGGTAGCTGTTAAAAAGGCTGAAAATTACAAGGGTGCAAAACCAGACAAAGTTGAAACGACAGAAAGATGCCTAAAGTTAAACGAAGGCACTGAAGCGGTTGCTGTTAAAAAGAATGAAAATTACAATAGCGCAAAACATGACAAGGCTGAAACGAAAGAAAGATGCTTACAGTTAAAAGAAGGTACTGAAGCGGTTGCTGTTAAAAAGATTACAATAATGCAAAACATGACAAGGCTGAAACCAAGGAAAGATGCTTAAAGTTAAAAGAAGGTACTGAAGCGGTTGCTGTTAAAAAGAATGAAAATTACAATAGTGCAAAACATGACAAGGCTGAAACGAAAGAAAAATGTTTAAAGTTAAAAGAAAACACCGAACTGATTGCTGGCAAAAAGGTCGAAAATTACAATAGCATAAAACAAGACAAGGCTGAAACGAAAGAAAAAAGCTTAAAGTTAAAGGACAGCACCGAACTGGTAGCAGACAAAAAGACTGAAAATTACAGTAGCACGAAACAAGACAAGGAAAAATGCTTAAAGTTAAAAGAAAACACCAAATTAGTAGCTGTCAGAAAGGCTAAATCAACAGCAAAAGATTCAAAAACATATATGGTGTCAGCTAGTGGAGAAAAGTGTTCCAATAAAGACAACATGGGGATTAGAAACGAAACAGAAAAGGAAGGGAGGGATAAAGTTCCAAAGAAACTATCGACACCTCAGAGTGAGAAAAAGGAATGTAAATTAAATGAAAAGTCAACAAAAACCACTGTTAAACCACACAAATATTTGTTAATGGCTGGCATCCAAAAACAAGCAAAAAGACAATTAAGAGGAAGCAGTGAAGAAGCAAAAGGTAACAATAACAAAACCACGACAGGATGCGCTCAGAGGCAACCGAAAAGAGCGAAGATCTGTCACAAAGACGAAAAAAAAACAGATAGCACCACTAAAACTGGCAAGCAGGAATGCAATGAAAAAGATATACTAAAACAATGCAAAAAAAGTTCTGGTAAGAAAAATCTGCTTTGCCCCCCTGTAAAAATTAAGAGTGCAAAGCTGGATTGCAGCAAATACGAAGACAAGAAGGAAATCAAAGAGCCAGCCCTTGACAAAAATGGCTCACCTCAAAATAGCGGTGGCGAGACGAGTAAAGAATATTCTGACAGTAAATTGATTGTTCAAATGTTTACGAACGATGGTAAAGAGACGTTAGGGAACAAAATTGTAGTGACTTGCAACAACTGCCTACCAGGAGAGAGTCTGAATGAGAGAGATAAGACTGAAGAAAGAAGGGAAAAACAGGAGAAGCCAGTTGAGATCCCAGGTAAGAGAAAAACTAAAGTAAGAGCTCAGCCGATGCATGTAAGTATGTCGTCAGATATTCCACACACCACTCCCATATCGAAAAAAAACAGAAAAAGACGAAGATTCAGCAATTCAATGGTGGAAAAGAGTGGAACACTCCCAAAGAAAAGAGTAAGAACAAATAAACAAAACAATATAACCCTGAAGAAAGTTAGCACAATAAAGAAGGAAAATAATGTTTCTTCAGCAGAGCAACAACTTATCGATAGAATGAAAAATTTGCAAGAGAGGAGCATGACAAAGCTTAATTTTAAACCAAGACAATGCGAAAAGAAGGCAGAGTTTCCAATTTTACGGTCAGATCTTGTTGACATGTTCATAAAGACTAAATATGACAGAAAGATAGAAATAATACAAACAATGTTTATTAACAGGAAAGTTACTAATGGTGCGAAACGTGATACTAAAAGCTTTTCTATGAGAAGATCACAGTTGGCATTCAATGCAGAAAATAAATGTTTATTCAGAAAATTTCAGAATAAAAAAACATTTGGACTCTCAAAGGGTACCAACATTCGGCAACAAGAATCCAAAAATATACTAGTTACGAACACCGTAGATGAATCCAGATCAAAAGCAGTGATACAGATATCAAATGATTTAGAGCATACGAACTTTGCAGAACAACTCTGTAAAAGTAAACTGAAAATTATAACACTTGCGAGGAACGTAAGGGAAAACATTTTTCAAACGAAATATATGTTGGACAAACAGATAGAGGTTTTAGAAACCATCGCTTTACCACACCTAGGTGCCTCTACAGTAACAACAGACTGCACCAACACTATTCTTGAGGATAAATGTGATACAGTTGAAGAAAAAGAGAAAGAAATAGTAAATAGGGACCCGTCTGGGGAAGTTCTCTATAGTAAAGGTGAAAAAGTAGTTACATTGTTCGAGAAAAAATTAATGGACGTCAGTAAGACGTTACTCCAAGGAAAATCAGCGCATGATTTGGAAAACGAGGAATTCAAAGGTTTTTCTGGTCAAACAGAGAATATGGAGGAATCTAATGGCTGTACGTCAAAAGGAAACTTAAAAAGTAACAGTGGAGACTGTAAAAAAAGCTATTCAGATCAAAATCAAATTAAACACGTGAAATTTGAAAATTCTCTAATGAAATTAGAAGGCAAGGAACAACAACAAGACTCTAAAGAAAGGGTTGTGAACCATACAGAAGAAAAACTATTCAAATTTAGCAACAACTATTTAGACTACGCGTATAAGAAAGTCAGGCACATACTATCAATAGTTAATGATGAAAATATATATTTGGCGGAAGAAAACAGTGGAGCTAACAAAGAAATACAAAAATTAGGAAAGATAAATAAGGATGGAAAGTTGCCAGAGGAAAAATCAGAAAGTAAAAGTTTGGTTGAACTCAAACAAGATGAGATATTGGAAAAAAATAAAGAAGGTAATAAATTGTTAGGAATCGAATATTGCGAGTATCAGAATACAAAGATCGACAGCAAAAAACTAGAATCAGAGATCGAGAAATGTTGCTTAAATTGGAAATACAACACTATGGAAACAAACATCAAACACAACTTAGAACAAAAACTTCACATGAAGAAGTTGGGAAAAGTAAGTCAAGAAATTGGCCAACAAGGGGGAGATGAAAATGTCCAAACAAAGACAGAACCTACCGAAAATCAGAACACTGAAGAAAATGAATTAGAAAAGAAAAGCGAGCAAAATTTTACTGATAAAAAATTATTAAAAACTCAAAACTCTACCACAGAAGTTGGAATAAAACCAAACTCGATGTTAATAGCATTAGAAAATAAAAGCACTAATGTGACATCCTCAATGAAGAACCCAGGTTCAAATCAACTACAATCATTTGCATCTCTCTGTAACCTGGAAGAAAATTCATCAAAAAGTAACAGATTAACTTCGATAACAGAGCCATGCTTAAAATATTTCAGTTTCAACATATTACACAACGATACTAAGCCAGAGGAAAAAAGCAAATATAAATATACAAGTCAGAGGATAAGACAACATTTAATAAGAAAGAACAATTATATTGAAAATAAGGATGGAAAGTTGCCAGAGCAAAGATCAGAAAGCAAAAGTTTGGTTGAACTCAAACAAGATGAGATATTGGAAAAAAATAATAAAGAAGGTAATAAATTGTTAGGAATCGGATATTGCAAGTATCAGAATACAAAGATCGACAGCAAAAAATTAGAATCAGAGATTGAGAAATGTTGCTTAAATTGGAAATACAACACTATGGAAACAAACATCAAACACAACTTAGAACAAAAACTTCATATGAAGAAGTTGGGAAAAGTAAGTCAAGAAATTGGCCTACTTCAACATGGAAATGAGGTTTTTGCAAAGGAAAGGGGAGATGAAAATGTCCAAACAAAGACAGAACCTACCGAAAATCAGAACACTGAAGAAAATGAAGTAGAAAAGAAAAGCGAGCAATATTTTACTGATAAAAAATTATTAAAAACACAAAACTCTACCACAGAAGTTGGAATAAAACCAAACTCGATGTTAATAGCATTAGAAAATAAAAGCACTAATGTGACATCCTCAATGAAGAACCCAGGTTCAAATCAACTACAATCATTTGCATCTCTCTGTAACCTGGAAGAAAATTCATCAAAAAGTAACAGATTAACTTCGATAACAGAGCCATGCTTAAAACATTTCAGTTTCAACGATATCAAGCCAGAGGAAAAAAGCAAATATAAATACACATGTCAGAGGATAAGACAACATTTAACAAGAAAGGACAATTATATTGAAATAAATAAAACGAAAGAAAGCGAGAAAAGACCCTGGCATGGCAAAGATAGATCATTATATAAGAAGCAAAAGACTGGAATTGAAGTTATTGGAAACAGATATAAACCACAACAAAAAAATGAATACACATACACCAGTCAAAAAATAAAACAGTCTTTGATGAGAAAAGAAGAAAACAATATAAAAAATAATACAATGAATGTGAATAAAAAGAGAATCCGGGACATACATGATGAAAGTGTATCGAGGACATCATCGCATTTGAAAAAGAGACAAAAAACAGTTCCTAAAATTACCGAAAAGAGGTACGTTATTCAGGATTATTCTGAACTAGGAGCCAGAAGGAAAAAAATATTTGCTAACATCAACGAAATCTCCCACAAAACTGGTTCTAAGCTAGAGGTTACTAAAGAAAAACGCAAGGTTGAAAAGCAGGAACAAGAGAGGAAAGTCAACGAAGACAGAAATGAGAACATATCTCAAATTTCTGGCATACGTTCAGGATACGTGGCTCCAAAAAATTCCGACAGCAACCTACGATTGACTTATGAAAAATTAAAAGCTGAAGAAAAATTTAAAAAAATTTTTATCTATTACCTATCTCACTTAAACAATTGTAAAAGTAAATTTTCAAAAAATGAAAACAACAATTCTACAATTCCATCCTCCAAAATAAAGGAATTAGTTTCGACACCAAGAAAAGGCAATAATTTCAGCAAACGGTCAATACTTTCACAAATAAAGAAAAATGCATTGCCGACAGTGCTGGAAGTATCACCAGAAAATACTGATATGAAATGTCAAAGTGAAATACAGACTGCAAGTGAAAGTTGTAAGCAAAAAAGGGATTTAGACGAGGAAAGTAGCAACAGCGGAAGTAAAGAACTGTTACCACAGTGTTTTGTGAAAAGCAGGGAAGACATCCAGAAAACAGTCATGGGGTCACTCAGTTTCTCCGAAAAATTAATGCGAAAGTTATCGCCAAACAAGATGGATTACGATCCAACGAAAGGTCCAATGAAAGCCCGTATCGAGCAGATCTTTAAGAAACACTACAAGGAAGAGGAAACGATCTACAGGTTCAACAAAAACCTTATAAGGCACCTACAGCAGCTGTGCGAGAAAACCCCACTTGTGTTTCAGAAGCCCAGAGTTACGGAAATAAACGAAATGCAGAAAACGCTGTACAAGTTCCTAGCGACGGAGATGAAGAAACCAATCAGTGAAAGTCCCGTGGGATTTTCTTTGTTCAAAAAGTGCAACAAGTGGGAAGGCATTGTTTATTATTCTAAAGATAAACAAAAAAGGTTACCAAACGATTCGTCAGAGAAAGAACCAAAAGCAGTGTCGAAAAGAAGCGTAACGTTCTTCATCGAAAAAGCACCAAGGGATAGGTACAAGAAGGAAAGCTCCGAGGTGCCCCTTAAACCTGTAACGAGATCTTGCGAACGGCTCTGCATGCCGCTGAAAGCTATATCTCAAGTAGCCCTGAAACCATCGGTAGAAGAAATGACGACTTTAAACAAGTATCACATTGGAAAAACGAATGCAATTTCTACAATCATTCCCAACATATTGGACAAGTACAAGGGTTTAAAAATAACATACATAAACATAAAAAGACCTATGAGGAAGTCCGAGGAAGGATTCCTGCCAACAATCCTCACTATGAGGGACAAAAACGAGTTGAAAGCTTTGGAAAAGGCCAATGATCCTGATACCATAAAAAGGCAAATCTTGGAGTTCAGATACGAATTGTTGCGTAAGTTACACAGAGAGTTTAGCGCTTTGTATGAGAAAGACGTTAATAAAAACATTGGAAAATTTGAGATAGTGTCAAAGTACTACAAGTCGGTAAAAGCAAATTTAAAAAACAAGTTGAAAGATGAAGTGGTGACGAAACTTCAATCGAAATCGATGGATGAACTGTTAGGGCCTTCTTCCAAACCATCTTTTGAAAGAGTTTCTCGCTACTACAACATCATAATGGACAAGAACAAGGAGAGGGATGGAGAAGGAACGAGCCAAGAGGTTTGGAATAACGCAAATACTCTTGTACAGAAGTTATCAGAGGAAACCACTGAGATCGACAAGAGCAGGAACGACTGCAAAGGGGTGGAACATATTTTAACGAAGAGCAAGAAGAAGGAAAATAATGATGAAAAAGATCCAGAGGATCCCAAAAAACAGAATTAATTGTTTACAAAGATTATCAAACAGTTCGAAAGGTAAACAAAAGTAACACAAACAACACATCCCATATTTATTTTTAGTCTATACGGGGTGTTTTAATTTACTGTGTAAGTGGATTCACCACAAATTCTTACACATTAAATGTTGGAACATCTCGTCCATCACTTTTGAAAACTTTTACTGAGATTTTAATTAAAACAGCATTATTTCATTAACTTGGGGTAAAAATACAATACCTCAACTGAAAGTTTTCTATCTTACATTATTTGCCATCGATTTTCCTTTTTAACCACCACAAAAGAGAATTAATAGTGTTACAGCAGATATTTATTATATTCATTGAACTGACTACATTTGCAAATTGTCCTTTTGCTGCAGATATAACGAAAGAAGCCCCGCACATCTTTGGCACTTCCAAGGGAGGCGAGACGGAGTGTGAAGACGATAAGCACAAGACCCGGTTGTTGTACAACCAGCACAGCTTCTATGACCTCAACGTACTCCTGGAAAAGTACAGGACTTTCTCCCAGGAACGCGACTGCCTCTAAGCAAAACTACAACGAGTTCATCCAAATTGTGGAATGTTGATGTGATAAAATTGTGGTAGAACTCTAACGGAAATTTCAAAAATCTATTTATTTTTAAATAGATGTCATGCATCATCATCTATATCGAATATTTGTACTTTGTATTTCTCGATGTTACTTGTACGTCGAGACACATCACAAATAAAACTATAGCATTAGAGACTGCCTTGATCATAATTCTACATTTTATACAGGGTGTGGCGTGTATAATTTATAAAAATTAAACTACAGCTTCTTAACAATATTTGTAATAGAAAACTCTTATATGAAAAAGTTCTATTTTTGCGTTTTTTTTTTGTAAATTAAAGTTCAATTATAGATCAAAATATTTTCCAAACATAAAAGTCCATTGGAGTTAGATTGGGTGACCGAGGTGGCCACGGCACAGGACCAAAGGGTCCAATCCATCACTGAGGAAACATTTTATTCAAAAAACATGCGTGCCCGAACTTATAATGCCACATCGTCCAATAATTCAGGCAACCGGTTCTCCAACAAAGTCAGCATATGTTGGTCCATTTAGTCATCCTTCAAAGAAATAGGGACCCATAAGCACATCGCCTATTATGCCAGCTCAAACATTTACCGAGAACCGATGCTGAAAATGAGTTTCCCTAATCGCGTGAGGATTTTCATCGGCCCATACGTGCATATTATGAAAATTCACTTCATCACGGGTAAATGTCGCCTCATCTGCTACACAAACATAAGCAGGAAAGTCTACTTGATTGGCACATTGCCGTAAAAACCATCTGCAAAAACACATTCGTTGATCACAATCCGGGGGTAAAATCTGTTGAACTGGTTGCAGATGATAAGGGTGCAACAGCAGGCGTCTTAAGATGTGATGTACAGTACGAGATGAGGTTCCTACTTGCTGTGCGAGTCGTCGAGTACTAATTGTGGGGTTTTCGTCAAGATTTTCCAACACTGCATCTTCAACATTAAGGTTCACCTTCCTTCTCCTCGACGAATAACACTTCCCATATCTCGCAGCCGCTGAACGCACTGTAGGATTGTATTTGCACATGGTGGGGTGACGTTGTGGTCGTCGTTCCCGGTACAACCTAGTCGCCGCAAGCGCATTTTCTCTGGCTGCACAATACACTAACACCATATCGATACGTTCGGAAATAGTAAATGCATTGTTTTCTCGGTTCATTGTAAAACTAGTTTGTGCACAAACTAAAAAATTAAGCAAAGTAATAAATAAGAATCTCGTTTTTAATGTCAATGGCATGCTATTCTTATTTTTTACTTTATAAAAATTACACTGTCACTATCGTGGAATTACAAAATAAAAACTTTTGTCTGAAATCTTGTTCTTTTTAACACTGATGGGTTGATGAACGATGCTTAATATTTAATAATTAAGTGAATAATGAATTCAATACAAATACAAAATCAGTCGACTGCAAAAATTTTTGACAATGTAACCTAACCTTCTTTTAGTAATACTAGTATTAGATTATACTGACTTAAATTATAAGGTTGCATATCGGGTCGCATAAAAACATTTCCAAAGTTTTCAATAAATAACACAATAGGTAATTTACAAAAAAAAAAAAACGCAAAGATAGAACTTTTTCGTATAAGACATTTCTATTACAAATATCATCAGGAAGCTGTAGTTTAATTTTTATAGATTGTACACGCCACACCCTGTATAAGAATTTCAACTACTATATAAGATGTACAAATATTCCGTGTACATGAAGCTACCACAGTTTGTTGAGATCAAAATAAGCAGATTTAACTAAAGGACATCAAAGTTGACTAAAAAAAATAGTTTTTTTTTTCAAACAGCTTCAAAGGCCTTATAAAGTTTTATTGAAGTTTGATACAGTAATACTTCCACATAAATGTCGCTTTAAGACATAGCAAACAAAGTAGTTGTATTAACAGAACTGTGCAAAATACCTCCTCCATTGAAGTAGTCTTCTCATAATTTTATTGGGGGTCGTGCTATAGCCTCTATTTTTTTGTGTTAAAGCTTCATGTATGTGGAATGTTGGTTTGTACAGGCCAATGATACAATAATCGGTTATAGTAGTTCAAATGTCCAAAAAATAAAAACATGCCTACTAACTTCAATTCATACATATGGCTTTATGACCTATTTCGTGTTGGATGCCATCTAGAAGAATGACAATTGATAAGATTGAACCACTGCTTAAAATTACGGAAGGAATACTAACTTGTACATTCCCGTGTAGCCAGACCTAAATTTTTAAGTTTCTACGACATAACATAACTGACTTCTGGTAATCGTTAAAGTAGTGCAAATGTCCAAAAATTAAAAACATGCCTACTAACCTCAACTCCTACATATGGCAGCACTTGAATTTCCTGTCTACCATAAGAGTGCCGCCATATCGTGCTACCATTCCTTCCTGTGTAACATTTACTATCAAGAAGTAGGCTTTGTGCCAATAGCAATTCAAATCGGAGAAGATGCTGAAAAGTATCAAAATGATTTATTATACTTCTGTAATGCATCATCTAAACTTACCGATGAAGAAAGTTAAAGACACTTTTCAACACTTCTATTTCCCTGTCGATCGCAAGTTGGCGAAAGTGTTCAGCTAACATCATGACATCGATTTCGGAAGGCTGCTTGCCGGATTGCACCCACTTTCTAATAATCGGCTTGATTCGTTCCCAACTCAGCCCTTGGAAAGGGTTCCTTTTAGTTGTTACACTTTTAGCAGCGCTTTCTGTAATGTAAAGAAAACATTACGCTGTCATACTTATTCTAAAAAAATATTTACCCGTTTTAATAGAATCTTTTTTCAACTTTACTTGCGTTGGCTTGTTTTCTGAAAGTTTAGGCTCTGTTATTTTCGTAGACTCTTTAACCTTGAGTTCTAAGCCATATTCTTTTATGACTTCATTCCTCAGTTCCTCGGGTAGTTCGTTTAGTACGTTTAAATCAATCTGGTGAGCTGTGTCATTGCGCTACAAAATTATTAATGTGCTGTTTAGATCATAAATAATTATTACCTTACCTTTTGCACTTTCCTATGATTTTCAACGCTTTTATTTTTCACAAAAAACTTGTTTACGGGAGTAGGTGCTCTATTTTTTGACATTTGTTTGCCGATGGAAGCTTTTCCGCCTCTAGGCCTGCCTCTTCCTGATTTTAATGAGCTCTGTCTAGACGATGAATTTTTCGAAGCATCTAGTTCAGGAAATACAGTTCGTATTGTCTCCACTTTTTTATTTTCCTTTAGATCCGTATTACTAGCAACAGCAGTAGTTACTGTAGCGTTTTTCTCGGTGTGGTTTTGTTTTTTGGGGGTTTGTTTCAAGAAATTACTCAGTGCTTTGTTCATGGGCGCGTTCTTTTCTAATTTTGTCAACTGGATTCCGACGCCCCTCAAATCAACAAAAGGTGGGTTTAACTTGTCATATAAATTTTTAACTTCCCGGTATATTATATGAGGATCGTTGATAATAACGTTCGATGAGCTTTTTGTGAGGCTGTCGCACACACCACAGCCTAAGAATTTTGCAGTTTCCTGTGGGGAGATACTTGTAAGTCAACTTCTATTTAAGAACCTTTTGGGTACTTACCACTGGCGCATCCGCTGCTCTTATTAATAGTTTCAACGTTACACACCTAGCTCTCATTCCAATGTCGTTTAATCGATTGTACACCTCCTTTGACAGGCTCTGTAAAAAATTGTAGCACTCGTCCAACGTTTTGAACCTTATACCATAGTTCACTTCTGCTGAAACAGATTTCCTTTCATGATGAAAATTTAAAGGCCTTCTATCGATGCCTCTGGATTGTTCCTTGAGGGTTTCCCCTGCTTTATTGCCTATTTCGTTTTGGATGACAGCCAGCGACGCCACCTGGAAGAATGGTATGTTTGAACTACTGCCTAAAATTATGGAAGTAATACTAACTTGTACATCCCCACAAGTAACGAGTCCTAAATTTTTGAGTTTCGACAGCGTAGCGTAACCGACTCCTGGTAAATCTGCTAAAGGTATCTCTACCATGTACATCTCTACATCATCAGCTTGTAGGTAATACTGACCCGATGGTTTTGCTTTGCGGGTGGCAAGTCTAGCTTGAAGACGATTCGCACCGAAACCTTAAAGAAAACGATTTTATCACACTTCTTAAATTTTTTCTAATTACGTACCTGTGGAACAAGGGCACCTGGTGATCGTCATAATTTCGTTTCTGATGTGGGTCGCCCATTCATCGACAGATAGCCCCGTTTCTTTAAGAATGCTAGTGACATCGACGTACATCTCGTCACAACTTACAGCCTCGATATCCAAAGTGTAGGATGCTATGGTTTTATATAAAGAATTGGATACTTCTCTGTACCCTTCGAAATCGTACGGTAGAGTTTTCAACTCGGGACACAACTTAACAGCTTGTCCAAGGAACATTCCGTTTTTTATGCCGCACTTCCTGGCTTCGTAGCTGCAACTGGCGATCTCAGACATGCTGGAATTCGCGTCTATTTTGGCTATCCGAGAAGTAGTACCTTCTGGTAACCTCTCGCTGTACAGAGCAAACTCCTGTTCTCTGTTAGCTTTACGCTCGGGTCTACTGCTGGAAATTTGGCCGTTTCGGGCATGGGTAATAGCCACCGGTTTGCCTCGTAGTTCAGGGTGGTTCCGTAAGCCAACGGAAACGAAAAAGCAGTCCATGTCTATGTGCATAATCACTGAATTTGGTAATACATAAGCAGTTGTTTTACCTAAAATATTAATCGGTACGTTAAAAGCTATCTAGTATATATTAAAAAATTCTAACCTTTAGTTTCTACAAGTTTGTCTTTCCCGGGAAATTTTCCATTAGATTTATCCCTCAATTGACCCACTAGTTGCTTAAATTCAGCACCCAGTGTAGATATCAGATGTAGCCTGGAATTATTGTAAAATTCTTCCAAGAATTTTGGATCTGCCGCAGTTTTAGTTGGACCTCTTCTCTGTTCAATATTTTTTTCAGCGACAGAGACAGAAGCAGAATTTTCCGTTACACTTTCTAAAATACTGTATGGAGAAACACTTTCTTTAGTTTCTGCTTCCTTTGGATCTGGTGAATGTTTCTCTATAACAGGGAAATCAATTCTTGGTTGCGTAAAGCTTTGATTTGTATAGAGGAGATATCTGCGGTAATCCAGTAATTTACCCAAAGATATACTATCGACTATCCATCCCGGTTTTACAATTGGTGTAGTGCCCAACTGTTTAATCTGCAACAAAGAAAATCGGTAACGGTTATGATGAATTTCTACACCAATATTGTACCTTAACGTTCGGTAAATTGGAAGCTATGATATGAGTGGTGCTCGAAACCTGGTACATGTGAAATAAGCCCCCGTGCGCAGCCATAAGATTTTTCAACTCATCCGCAGGTGGTCTTGTTAAACCATTCACATGTATTGCCACGCCTTGAAAGATATCAGAAACTTTCTCCACTTCTGCTGAGGTAAACTGTTGCAAAAGCTTCGTCTTCTTTGCTTCCATATAACCACCCTAAAAAATTTTTTGTTACAGTATACAGTACTGATGATTGCCTTTTCTTCCCCGTAATACCCATCTTGCAAATCCATTGTCCTCCTCTGAAGGGTTTTTGATTCTTCCACGCCTTGAACATCCTGCAAACCTTCCCATTTTACAACCAGAAGAAAATTAGCCCCGACATGAAATCTTTCATAACCAAAAATTTGTTTACCCGCCATAACGTCAGCTGATTAGAGTACATTTGAACTACAGTGTGTAAACCTACCTATGTGAACTACTATTCTATTTCTACAAATGAGTGCTAGTACTAATTTGAAATAGCGAAATCTTTTAATCAAAGAGATTATAAATACAGAAGGGAAAACACCCTTTATGAATGTGGCTCTCCTAACGGAAAGCGCAAGTACTGAAATTTTTATGAACGGAATATTAAAAAAAAAGACTAATAAAAGATGCTTTGCTGTACAAATACTTTATGTATATATATTTTTAAAGGTTTAGGTGAACAAAAGAAACTCATAAAACTTTTTTAAACATTTATTTGAAATGCTATTTCATCCCAGTGTTTGATATGACAAAAAAATTACATTAAACTTGGAACTGATAATAACATCTTTCCTTATCTGAAACTATTCACGAGACTTGGAATTTTTTTTATATAAACATATCATGACTAACACCAGTCTTTCTCTTCATATAAAAATATATAACTTGAGATTCGTTCGATAGAATATAACTAGCTAAAAAGAACATAAGAATCGAAGCTATGCCAATCATCAGCATTACTGTATTGCATTTGAGATTGCATGTATTGACACTGAATTATTATACAAGATAATAGTAAACCACCCCTTCCTCGATCCAATTTATGGATATCCGAGGTGATTCTGCGGCAAAAAAATATTAACGACAAATAATACTGCAAACGAGATATGTCCACGAATTAAACAGACCGCCTTTGATTATCTAACGCATAATAAAAATTGTCATTATCCAAACGCGGCTAAATCCGTACTGCTCAGCTTGGTGTAACTTCATTAGGTACTACCTAAAGTCGTCTACGTGTTGATTATGTACTGATAAACCAAAAAGACTGATGCTAGTCGTAGCGATACGCTATTCTTTTTTGTTTTGGTCGAACGACACCTGGCAAAATACCCAGTCCTCCATGAAGGAGGGCACGAAAGCCTTGGAAGTCGTAAACTTCACTGGTGGCTGCATCTTATCCAGCTGGGACTTGTATTTCTCGATGGCGTCGGGAGAGGAAGATCCGTTCAGCTAAAACGAAAAATTCAAAAATTTTTTAGGTAATAAAAATATACTTACATGTGTCATGAATTTGCCGTCAGACTTGAGGACCTTGAAGGACATCTGAAGGATTTTGTTCACGAAAGTCCACAATTGTCCTGTGAGACTTTCCGAGATGGGAATATCTGTTAGGTCACCAAAAATGTAGTCGAATTTTCTATCTTCTTTTATGTACTGCTCAAGAGATTTCATACAGTCACCAACGATGATCTAAAAACAGAGCGATTATTTAAAAGAATGCCAAAACGAGATGGTTTTACTAACTTTGTAGCTAGGACCTGAATAGTTATCAAGAACGTCTCCGCACACAGAACGCATGTGCTTCGCGCAAGCTTTCATAACCACATCATCGATTTCTAACATAATGACTTCTTTGGGATTCTCTTTCAACAATTCATACAAGAGAGCGCCATCACCACCTCCTAAAAAAAAGGCAATTAAACATACACATAATTGAGCTTAAATTACATACCCAATATCACAATTTCTTTATCTTTGTAGTTTTCTTTGCCCCTTGCCATCAATGTTTCTGTATATATAAGATCTGATTCGGCGATATCTAAAAAAGAATTAAATTCAACAAGTCCGTAAATTGCATCATACACATATTTACTTTGTAGATCGTCCAAGACTAGAATATTCCCCAAACTCTTCGAGTGCACAATTTGGACTTTTTGGTAAGGCGTAATCTGTTCAAAGACGATTTCATCGATATCGTATTCCAAAAGTCGCTCATCTAAAATTATTAACATATGAAATCAATGTATTCGTTGAATGACATCAAAACAAATAACATTAAAAACGTTTTAATACTCACAGCTTTGACAAACTTTAGACACAGACAATTAACTACTAGAGTAAAATTCTAAATTTTACATGCTCTCAAAAAAAAATCAGCATCAGAGTTAACATAATCAAAATTATGTAATACTATAAACTGTGATAACATTTGGCTCATGATATGATTGATAAGGTTTTAGAAAATTGGTGGTAATATATTAAACATTAAATCTGATGGAAGCAAAAACTAAAACAACAAACCTGAGCTGACAAAGTATGTCATGTAAGTGCCCCTTTTTATAGGCGGCAACGCCATCGCCTTGGAGACGTCGATAACCCGTTCCAAAACGTCCTTTTCGAGTTGTCTAGACCTCTATAACATTTTAGCATGCTACTACAACTGTATGCTTACGTGGGGTGCAAAAATATTGATAAACATAGTAAAAAATAAAACAGAAATAAATTTGTCTGCAGAGTTTGTGTCGATTTCATTTGCGGTGTATTTGGTGCCTTTTTCTTTATTAACCTGATAAATATTAATTGAAATATTCAAATAATAGGAAATTCTGGGTAAAATTTAACCATCTTTATATATTCCTAACATGTATCAAGGACTTCTAGTGGTTTTGGTAATACCTACAGGATCAAAGTATTATTATTATTAATAGACTTAAACAGTGTATTTATAAATCATGTGTCACGTGAATGAAATGAAATGGAGTAGGAATGTTGTAGAACGAGTAATATTTTATGCTAAAATAATCTTGTAACAAACCCTCGTTTTACAACTTTCTCAAATAATTAGGCTGAAAACCCATTCCGATAGCTTTAGACACATAGCGAAAGTAAATTCATTCAAAATATAAACCACCAAACTACAAACAGCTCCGAACCTGAACTGGACAAGTAAACGTCAACAATAGCCCCCCTTTTGATGGGAGGAAGCATTTTCGAACGAAATGAATCTAACGACACTTTCAATTTTTGTTCTAATACTCTGCTCAGCTGCAAGAAACGTTATAAGGACACAGTGAAGTTATAGAAAAGTGTAGTATACTTACATCGTAAGTCAGAATCGGTTCTTGTTTGTCACCTTTGAAATAATCAACATTTATAGTTATCAATCCGTTGCTGTACACTCTCAAATTGACCGTGGCGCCGGGGTCGCACGTGTATACCTTTATCAGGCCCCCATCGTAATTAAAACTGTTGATATGCTTCAAACTGGTCAAATATTCGCGCAAAATATTCTCGACGTTCGTTGCTACCACTGAGAGACGAGATTCGTTTTTTACGACGCTTGGATCCACCGAAAAATCTAAGAGGATTGTATTAACAGCCATCTCTGACGATATGTAATTAAAGTCACAAGATCTGCGGTTTTGAATATATCGATTTCAATTTGGAAATACCGAACATAACCCTACTTTTGCAGCTGTCATTAATTGACTTCCTAGTTCCTAAGTTAGGCAACCCATAAAACATATGTTTTGGAAGCGACACTGTCGTCATCTTGTCGCAACTAGAACTACTCCTCGTAGATCATTTTGCTTGTAAAGAAATCTATCAGAAACAAATCGAAAATTGCAATAGAAAAATTATTCAATAAACTCTTTTGTAGTTCGTGCAAACGCAAATAAATATTTCGTAACTCTATTTGAACTACCAAATCTAGTTGGCAATGACACACTTTATACGTCTTTTTAATGTTGAAAACTATCACTACGAAAAGTGACATAATCGCTGTTTTAAAAAAATATTATAAACATATAGTTGAGCAAAAAAGACAGAGACCGCGTTTTAGCTGAGATTTGCAAAGAAGATAAGTTTTTCATGGTCGCATTTTTAAGTAGGTGAAGAGCGGACTAGTTTTTAAAACCAGATCAAATTAATCATCCAATTTTTATTGTAAGGTCAAGTTTTGAAGCATGTTGTATATTACTGTAACCTCTAAAGAAATAAGAAATTTTTTATGAAGTTTTCTCCTTGTTACGGCCCTGCAAAGCAGTCTTATGTTGATGACATAATCATAAAATCCAAAAGGATCAAGTGCTCTGGCTAGCTCCGGCCCTGACCTAGGAAGTCTTATCCGTACCTAATTACAATTACCTAGTCACTCTCGGTATTTGCTCTATTTTAATTCACGGCACCGCCTTTAAATTAATAAAAGCGGCAAAGCTGTAAACGCCACGTATGATTGCAATTTTCAGCGCTAGTTTTTAGCCATCCGATTGTATCAAAACAAAATCGAGGCGTTCGCGCGCTCCAGCTTTTGAAATCTAGTCAGTCTGTGCGCGAATTTTGTCTCGATCGCGTTGTCACTGATTTCAGTTGAGCCGTATTCGCTTGTTTTCGATTTTCGGTGTGGCCACGAGACCTGCTGTGTGTTGGATGTAAGTGTGGTACATGTATTTTTATTTTGCGAACGGCCCCCAGTTTTTTAAAAAACAAAATAGCCGATATTTTCGGAACTTTTTATATTCAGCGCGCCCCCTAATAAACAGAAAAAATGGCAACGTGATTTTTTAATTACAAATGTTGCTGACATACAGTCTGTTTTATATTTTTTTCATAGATTAACTATTTTCTAGAAAAAAAGTTTTAATTTGATGTTTTCTGGACGGTGGGGACTTAAAAATAAGAAAATTCGATATATTGGACGTTATTTTTCAAATTTGATAAAAAAATATAATAAGAATTTACTACATTAGAAGAATAAATCCGTATTTGTATTATTTTTAGTTTAGTGTCTAAGGCCATTGGTTTTTGAGATACAGAGTTCTGAAATTAAAATAAAAATCTTATTTCAAATATTTCTGAACTTAACTTTATCTGGAAATATGATCATTTTCGAATTATTATTTTCTAAATGACAATAATAATTTTAAACGTATAACTAAAACTATCCGTTTCACAAAAAAGTATATGGTAATTTTTTATTTAAAATTCAATTTTAAATATAGTGTAACAATTAAATATTAAAAAAAAATAATAATAATTCGAACAGAAAGCCTTCTCGGTGTTCTTCAAATAATAAAACCTATTGTTTTTTGACAAATTAATTTTAAATAAATTGTGTCGTAAGCTTATTCTTGATTTAAAACACAGCAATGAATCGTTTTCGAACAAAATGAAACGCATCGAAATAACAAAAGTACTTAAATACCGTCATCTAATTTCCAAAATACTCAGTGGCGTCGAAGTTCTAAGGTTCTCTAGTGCCTTTCAGTGTCTCCGCCACTGGTAAGGCATTTTGGTCTAAAGTGATCCAAGCAACAGCCATCTGAAGTTACGACATGTCATTAGAAGACGCCCTGTATAGCGAGCAACGGACAAACGTTAAACAAATTCAGATTCCCTTGACAACAATTGTTTTGGTCTTACATTTTGTGAGTCAATTCTAACAATGACATTTTAGTAGTTAGTATTCTAAAACAGTCAACAATTGCCTAATGTTTTCCATGGCCTACTTAGGCAAGCTGCAACGTCGGGGAAAAACAAACAAAAGAAAAGGGGGTGTTAAATGTGAAAACACGGATGATAATTTTCGGATAAAACTAGAAAAAAGTCTAAAAAGGAATTTATAATGGTGGTATAGACAGGGCGTTACAAAAGTGTAGGTCGACCCGAGTGAAATAATGATCCATTTTTAGAGACGTGATGTCGAAATTTAATTAAAAAGAATGTTGTTTTTAAGATATTGATTTGTAATTTTGCACAAATTGTTGTCTTATGCTGACACATTTTTTTTATAGTTAATTAGTTGTGCATCCTTAAAACAACTTTAATTTTGACGAAGTTGTAGTTAAGTGTCCCTCTAATTTACTTTCTAATGTGCGAACTTGGAATAACTTAATATTTAGATTTTAAGTCAGTTTATAAGTATTTCAATGCCAATTTAGACATTAGATTTTATGATGAATTTTGCAATAGCGAAAAAGTAAAACGAAACATTCTCTGATCTAAAAAACGATATCCTTGAATCATAGGCGTACGCAGGAAAAAATTAAGGGTTCAATGAACACATTGACCTCCGTTTTGTCTCTATTTTTTTTTACCAATAGTTTATAAACGTTGTATTCTTAGGGTAAAAGACGTTGAAAATTAACTTAATATACAAACAAAAAAGCAACATTTACTAATAAAATTATTTTTTTATTGCAAGTCTGTGTCTTGAAAGAGAAGCGTCTGCTTGATAGAATACCAAAAAATAAGAATATTTTTTCCAATGGACCATGGATCTTTAGTTTTTGAGATACAGTGGATCAAAGCAAACTTTTTAAAATACTCTTTTAGCCAATCTTTTCCATAAAATAGAATAATGTTTTGAAATTGAGACAGGTAAGGTTTTAAGGGAGTTTGTGTTAGTGTGGTTAGTTTTTGACCGTCTGCTAGAGGTCACTAGTTGCGATCTTACCCATTGACTCTAAGACATAACTATTTTGAGATTAGTTTTTTTACGGTGTGTACAGCACATATACTTATTATCTAATGTATATGGTACAGCATATTATAATGTAAAATTTCATTCTACGTCAAAATGATACCTTTGTTGAAAACGCATTGTTTTCCTGAGAAAAACACAATTGACAATTCCAAAGTCAACTAGCTTCTGTTCCTTAATATGCATTGTATTCGGAAACGAATAGGCCATTCTTCAAGAACACCTTCCAAGGATAAAACAAACGAATTTAAATCAAGATCATGAGCATGGTATTGCTTCCTTAAAAAGTTATCGAGAGTTACACATTTTTTTAAATTCCATTTTAACTAATACTAATAAAGAAACAAGGAACTTATTCTAAAATGATTTATTTTCAGCCAAATAGGCCACCTTTAGCCACCAATATTTTCATTTCGCTGTCGGCACTTTAATCTCATTCATCTGTTTTTGGTGACCTTGTATAGAGAAACGCTGATCAGGGCCGTAATAAGAATTTTTTGTTTGTACAGGAAACCTATTTAAATAAATAATAATCACGATGAACACAGAAGTAATTGAATACATTTTCATTAAAGTTTGGTACAACTAGCACCATTTATTTTTCAATAGATAACATTGGAAGTGCTGGTAGTCTATTTTTACAATCTAATTTATACTTTTACTATCTTTAAAAAAACACACAAGAAACAATACGTAGGCAACAAAATTTTACATTACACATAAACAAATTATGTAAAATATCATCACCACGAACGGTAGCGTAGTCGGCCGAGCATGCGGTGGCAAGTATTTCTCCGGACTTCCTATTCTGGTCCTGGTTTGATCCCTGGCGTCGGCACTGGCAATGTCGTTGGATAATGGGCGTTTGTCTGCGTTTTTTCAAGTGTAACCCCCTTCCGCACAGGCTTTGGTTTTGAATTTGGGGGTTGTCTCACTTCTCCGGAGTGTTTTATATATTTTTTATGTTAATAAGAAAAATACGTTGAATTGCCTTTATTCGGTTACGGGCAGATTAAACAGAACCCAAACTGCATAGGTAGCAGTAATATGCATTACTCTCACTCACAAAGAACTAAATAAATTTGACAATTAAAAACCTGTGACAGTTCATGTCATGTTAATTGTTACTTACCTGCCAACGGCCAACCTAAGATGTGCGAAACAAATGGAAACATCATTTTAAGAATGGAAATGTTTATTCGTAAATAAAATGGAAGCCAAAGGGTTTAGGTATAGGGAAACTGTAACAAAGTTGTACTTAATTTTAATGCATAATGCGAATACGTTAAAAAAATTAGGGGTTTCCATTTAAAAATTTCGAGTTTTCCACATTTTCTGAACTTCATATTCGATAATTTTTTTTGACCGCCCTGTATAAAAACTGGAAAATTTTCTTGTCACATTCGATAAATTAGGTCTTCCTCTACAAAATGTCCAATTTGCACAAAAAAATAAACGTATGTTTCCGGGAAAACTAAATTTTGCTGACAGTCTGCATCTGTCAATTTTTGTTTAAAAATCAAAATACCTATCTCGGAAACTGTCAATCCTAAGTTGAGTTGAGTGTGCTATATATTTTCAACTTAAAAATGGATGCTCTTTCCAAAAATTAAATAATATACAGGGGATTCCATTTAAAATAAGAAAGTTAGTATCGACTTCCGGTATAACCGAAAGTACGATGACTTTGAAAATATTTTAGCTTAGTAGGCCCCACGGTCCGTATCACACCATCACAATTTCAAAAAAATCCTTCGAGCGGTTTGCCAGATATCCATCGATAGGTAGAGTTCGTGGTGGGACACCCTGTATAAGCTTTCGTTTACAAGTTATCTTTAGCATGTTATTTACTAAATTAAAAGAAGTATAATTGTTGCTACCTACATATTTTTTGCAGACTAAAAGCAAATATCAGTAAAACTTTTTTGTTATCATTTTTTCAAATACAAATAGAATCGTAAGAGACCTAACCTCGAAAACGCTAGATG